TTACAGGAACCGTGGAAACATGCTTAATCCTGCGGAAATCCACCACCAGTTCCTTAGTTTTTGCTGCATTAATTACGAGTTGATTCAGATTGCACCAGTCCACAAAGTCCTGATTCAGTTCTCTGTACACTCTGTCATCCCCATCAGAGATTAGACCAACGATGGCAGAGTCATCAGAGAACTTCTGGAGGTAGCAGTCTGAGGTGTTACAGGTGAAGTCTGCAGTGTAGAGGGTAAAAAGGAAAGGTGCCAATACTGTTCCTTGTGGTACCCCTGTGCTGCAGACCACTGTGTCAGACTGACAGTCCTTAATCCTCACGAACTGTGGTCTGCTGGTGAGGTAATCCAGGATCCAGGCTGAGAGGTGAAGGTCTACCCCAGCATCCCCCAGCTTGTCTCTCAAGTTCTCAACAGTGCAGGCTGGATGGTGTTAAAAGCACTGGAGAAATCATAAAACATAATCCTCACAGAGCTTCCAGCTTTTTCCAGATGAGAGAGTGATCTGTGGAGAAGATAGATGAGGGCGTCATCCACTCCGATGCCAGGCCTGAAGGCAAACTGAAGCGGGTCCATTGACGGATTCACCAGGGGACGAAGATATCCTAGAATTAGTCTTTCAAATGTTTTCATCAGATGAGATGTCAAAGCCACCGGTCTGTAGCCATTCATGTCTTTGGGGTGTGGCGTCTTAGGCACAGGAACCAGACAAGATGTTTTCCATAGCTGGGGTACTTTCCCCAGCCTCAAGCTCAGATTGAAGATGTACTGTATAGTCTCACACAGCTGGTCGGCACAAGAACGAAGGAGCCTTGGGCTGATTCCATCTGGTCCTGCTGGCTTCCTCATCTTCAATCTCCCCAGCTCTCCTCTCACCTGGTTAACAGTAAGAGACAATTCAGTAGTTGGATGCTCAGGGCTGTGATTAACTATAGTCGGAGGGATGGGATATGAAGGAGTAGATGTGCTGGAGATGTAAAGAGGCTCTGAACCTTGTGTCAGTGATGGTAATGTGCTCGTTAGGAGTGTCTGGACAGAGGGAGAGGCAGATACATGGTCAAATCTATTAAAGAAGATATTCAGATAATTCAGCCACTGATGGTCCACCTCAAGTTGAGGAGTGGTGACTTTATACCCAGAGATGGTATTCAGAGTCCTCCAGACACCTCTGACATCATTATTTTGCAGCTGATCCTCCATTTCCTTCTTATTCTTCGTGTTCTGGGTGTTTCTAGTTGGTTAATTACTGGCCCAAGTCAAAAGATATCGTCACGTTTATATATACAGCACTTTATACAATAGATTGCTTTAAAGCAAGCAGCTTTACAATATTAAAAATTACATGTTTTTACTTGCGTCTGATTTCAACGCACTTAACAAAAGAAATTAACCAAGATTTCCACATCAAAGGAGGAGCCACAAAGCACACAAACCTATTATGTAATCGCCATGAACCTGGTAGTTCGAAGGTGTTTAGCAGCCAGAGCGAACTACTCCAGAAAGTTTGCTTCAGCAAGCTGTTGCTAACTCTCCAAACGAACTTCGTACTGTCCTGATTTTGCCTGAAATGCCGTCAACCAGTTTGCTCGATTTTGCTTTAAGTAGGGTATGGAATTGTGTAAAGTATATATATAAAAATAAAAACTAAAGACACAACTTGACAGCATTGATTTTTTGTAAATTATATTTTATACCCTTAAGAGCTGTGTTGCTGCAATTTAACAAGTTGCAGCAATTTACTTTGTCATAAGTACCCCATCACATGATAGTGGCACCTCAAGCCACATTCCATAAACTGAGGGTAAGTTTACACGACAATGTACTAAAAATGTAAAAGTTTTTCCTTTCTGTTTTTCGTGCACAGCCGTTCACACGGTTCCGCAAAAACGACTAAAAACGCTGTATTATTCATGCCAGGCCAGTAGTTGGCGATGTCACTTTATAAAGAAACACTCCGTGTCTCTAGACTGAACATGTAATATGCATGTGCATGATGTCACCATTTTCACAAATTCCTCTTTTTGTAGTTTACACAGGGAAGATAACGATCAAGCGTAGCGTCTGTTCTGGCAGGTCACGTTAGTCAAGCTCGCATCAGCTGACTCTCAGCTGATCCACGTCTACCTATAGGAATATGACGCCAATCACTGTATACATAGCCTACTGTATGTAAGCTCCTTCAGTATTCTCAGGAGCTAATTACCCTCCTCCACCCCCAGCTCCTCCTCTCGTCAGTCAGGATTTGGCATTCTGATTCCCCTTGAATCAGAATAAATTCTCGAATTATGTTGTACTTTAAAATCTTGAATTAATGATTTCTGCTATACATTCATGTTGGTTCTGTTCTGTTTACCCTAAGGGGGGTTATTGCTGCTCTCCCTGCTCTTATTCATGCTAGGCTGCATGAATGCGCAGGGAGTTACGGCCCAGAACAGAACCATACCGCCAATCCAAACAGCATGCTAATTGTCAATCGTATTTGACGCTAGTGGTCCTGACAGAAATATAGTTTTCAAAAACTTGCACGTTTTCAGGCAGTCAAAGCGCCATTGTCCTGTAAATGAACGGCCAAAGCACATAAAAAGTTTTACGATTTTAGTTGAAAAGGGTGTCGTGTAAACGGCCCCTAACACTGAATAACACAGTAGTACACATCAACAGTTTGAGAATACATACAGAAAAGTAAATATCAAAAAGTATCTCACAATAGCAGTTTGTCAGGTACCTAGATATTGAAGACATTGACGTAAGAGTGTTTGCATATGTTTGTGTATTATTTACCTGTTTTTATAGAGACTGTGATTGACCATACCAATGAAAATCGGTATGAATTAGATGCGATTGGGATGCAATGGTTTTGAGTTGCTGTTAAACAGTATGGCCAGAAACATACTTTTACACAAGTACGCAGACGCAAATATTTGGTCAGCGCATTTGCCCTATTGAATATGCTTAGCGTGCTAACAATGAACATGTAAAACCGCTTACAAAATTTAACTTGCTCAACAAGATTCTCTTCAAACTGTTGCTCTGCCATCAAACTAATGGGCACGAAGGCAACATTTTTGCAACAATTTTTTTTTTACAACATTTAGCCTATTCATTATAGAGGTATTTAGAATGCTAAGAACGCAATGGATTTTAGCGTTGTTATCAGTAGTGCTCTGACACATTCCAGAAATCACTTAGCTGCTTAGCAAGAATCATTTGCATACTTGCAAAGAGTATGTTTCTGGGCAAAGTCAGTTTTAAACATGTTAGAAATCTCTAGTGAGTCATTGGTGGAATGCGCTTTAGAATTTAGCTCCTTTTGTCTTATCTTGCTCTGTAGTCCATGCAGCATATTGCAGGTCATGCTGGATTGTCAGACATAACATGTTTTTTTCTATTTTCTTCGTAAGATCTGTTTCTTCAAGGCACAGCAAGAGAGCACGGTACAAATCACAACTCATTTACATTCAGCTTGGCAAGAAAACCCTCCACCCACCCTTCCCTTCCAGTCCTAGAACCACTAGCAGCAAAGACCAAGAATACAAAATTTACTAAGAAAATTGGTGTTACAGAAGCCAGAGCAACACTTGACAGATCTAAAGAGAGCTGCAGGCTGGTTTAAGTGTGTGACAGAGTAGAACAACATGCAGTTTGAGAGTTGAGACTATATGAATTGAGTAGCAGGATCATCCAATGTGCCATTTTCAGTTTGTGTTATCATAAATGATTTTACCCTGAAAATATTTGATAATCTTTAAAGAAATGTTGTGATTTTAATACGTTAAGCTCCATTGATAATATAACTTTAACTTATCCGTCAGTTTGTAAAAAAAAAAATCAAAACCAAAAATTTGTTTACAGCAGTGCACTTACTATAAAAGACTGTGGTATAAGCATGGCACCAGAATACATGTTAAAATACACATGGATTCAAATGTATAGCCACAAAACGTGATATAAGTTATCATGAAACTATTGTGACAAAATAGCTTACCTTGTTTGAGCAAATTTTTCAACTGTCATGACCATGTAAATGTAGGCCTACTTACAGCTCAAATAACACAATTTAGGGCTCCAGACTGTGAATAAAATGCGCAACGATCATTTAAAATCAAGCCGTTAACGCCTTTTTCCGCTCAAAATGCGGTCTCGTCGTCTGGTTGGAATGCGCGCCAATGTTTCATGCACGTGACGGAACACAGAGCGTGATGTCTGATTCGCGGCTAAATGACTCTTGTAAACCGATTCTTTCAGTTAAAAATATTCACGAAAAAGCCACGATTTAGCTGTTTAAATCAGACTCGGTCAGGAAATTGTTCAGGGCTGCGTTTTCCGAAAACACCGTGGAGACCATAGCCACTCTCTCACTGAACGTCATTTTAAAGTATGCTTACACAAGTGTGTTTTTATGGCAAAAACAGAGTGACAACAACTGAAACGAATTTGTAGGCTACTATTAAAAAAATCAGTTTATAACTTAAATCGTTATAGTCTGTAGGCCTATACTCTTTTCCTCACTGAATGCAGTAGTGGCAATATTAAAATCTCAATAATGATATGAACTCAATGACTGAACAATCATCTTTATCTAGCGATTATAGTTATCAGTCAAAAAAGACAAAAAGTCAGTTTCATTTTTTCGGAGCCAGTGGCTCTCTCATCATTTTATTTTGTCTGGAGCTCTAATATCAGTGATTTTTTTTAGCTTCACAGAGCTTTAAACCCTCTGTATTGCTCTATAGACTTTCATTATAAGTGCACTACTGTAGAAATTGGGAGTCAAAATTATGCTGCCGAGAGCTTAAGTCTTTTCGACCATTGATTTAACAGCTCTGCTTTTTTGTTTATCTTTTTATTGTTTTGCACATTTTTCAGTTCATTGTGCGAGTCTGCTAAATTAGACTGTATATTAGTCAGTAAAAAGCTTCACTTTGTAATGTCCTTTCACATCTTCTCCTTAGACCAAATTACTGATTGAACAGCAAAAAAAAAAATTACGCAATGAGTGTCTCTGACTTTGAAATATTATGTAGTGCCAATTGACGGCAGTATGTACAACACAACTGCTATTGTCACTGAAAAACAAACAATAACTGGGAGCGATTGACTCTGGGGCACACTGCAAAAAAGGTTGAGGGTGTTAATAACAGTAATAATAATCTACTAATAGAAAACACATGAAAACAGCCTCTCAGCATAATGTTGCACAATTATGTACCATTGCTAAAATACAAGTACTGAATAAAAATAACAATAGTAAGCCCACACTGTAACAACAGCAAAAGAAGTATTAAGCAAATCGGATTTGCAGGTCTGGAGCATTGCCTAAACTCTTTAAAGCTATACGATGTGACTATGAATAAAAAAGTACATCAAAAAAATCTGTCAAAATGCAATGTTCCAAGCTTCAGTCAACCAAACCACCAGACACCCATTAACATCATTAGAGTGAAAAGAAAAATAGAAGAAAGTAGAAAGCATAGTCCGAGCAAGAGAAGGGGACTGGTCTCATTTTTTGACAGATCTTTGCTTTTATCCACTTCAGATATTTCTTTGAAAGCTCAAGTCCTCAGAACTAAAACCGCCATGTCAGTGAATTCCCAACAAGCTTTTAAAGAAGTTTGCTTGGATAGACGCAATTTGTTGTCTTTTACACTTAAATGGAGGTTCTAGAGGAAAAATTTTGCAGCATAGTGCCTCTTTATCAGCCACTAGCTAAGATGCGGCATTGGGCTCGAGCGTTAGTTAGGGAGAGGGAACGTTGGGCAGGTCGGTCACTGGAAACCCACAGGACTGTCCATGAGAGGGCTCGGGCAACTGGGATCTGTGTCATCCTTGAGTTCAGTCTCCAAAGTTTCCTCCAGATCCTTTTCCTCCACTCCTTCAGCGTCACACACTGAACTCTGGCTGTTCCTCATGGTGCCGTAGCTCTGGTGGGCCGGAGAGGGCATGGGAGTCAGGCCCAGCTCTGGCTCCAGCAGGACAGAGGCTATAAAAAGCTGAGGAGGGAAAGAATGAGAGGTGAGTAGGTGGAAAGCAAGAGTGCCATTATTTTAAGAGCTTCTTTTTTATGTTTATGCAACATGCTACATGTGAAGTGCCTTTGACATGGTGAGTGGAAGCCTTAGAGGAGATGAGTGGAAAGAGATAAATTAATTTCATAAGAGGGACTTGAAATGAGTGTGATGAATTAAATGAGCTGTGACGGGATAAGCAGGTACATTAGCTGTGGTTGTGGTGGAAACAGTGCTTCTCTCCGCATCACTGAAGCCTTCTTCTGTCGTCTGATCGGACATCTGAAACAAATCCGGATAGCAATCACTTTTTACTGCCTGAAGATATTATTCTGCTAAAAGCATCTTTAAGAGCTTATTCTCAAAGCCCATCTTGTGTTGACAAAGGCATCTAGTTGTAAAGGTCACAATCATAAATTTTACTGTTTTCCAACCATAACTGTCAATATAGACTATATGGACAAAAGTTCTGGGACACCTGACCATTACACCAACAGGGACTGTAATTACATCACATTCTAAGTACATAGACATTAATATGGAGTTGATCCCCTTTTTGCAACTATAACAACTCTTCTAGGAAGGCTTTCCAAAAGATTGTGGAGTGTTTCTGTGTGAATCTTTGCCCATTCATCCAGTAGACCATTTGTGAGGTCAGGAACTGACGAGAAGACCTGGCTCGGAATTTCCGTTCCAGTTCATCCCAAAGGTCTTCGATGGGGTTGAGGTCAGGGATCTGTGTGGGCCAGTCTAGTTCTTTCACACCAATCACTCCATACCATCCGACGCTTGGCATTGCACTTGGTGATGTGAGGCTTGCATGCAGCAAGCGGCTCGGTCATGAAAACCCATTCCATTAAACTCCCGCTGCAGTCTTTGAGCCAATATTAATGTCGGTGGAAGTTTGGAGGTCGACTTTTACAATGCGCCTCAGCACTCAGTGACCCGCTCTGTGACAACTTCCGCTTTGTGGCTGAGTTGCTGCTGTTCCTAAATGCTTCCAACTTCCAATAATACAACTTACAGTTGACCTTGGAATATCTAGCAGGGATGAAATCTCACAGACTGACGTATTGCAAAGGTGGCATCCTATCACAGTACCAATCTTGAAATAACTCAAATAAATACATTTTTTTCACAAATGTTTGTAAATGCAGAATGCATGGCTAGGTGCCTGATTTTATACACCTGTGGCGATGGGTCTGATTGGAACACCTGAAATCAATAATTAAGAGGTGTGTCCCAATACTTTTGTCCATATAGTGCATGTACATTTGGGATCATGCAATCCACACATGAGCAAGCAATCATGGTTGAGACGTGGATGGGGCAACTGCAAACATAAAATGACATTGCATTCAAGGAACATTTTTTTAATTTTTAGTTTGTGCACTCCCTGGGACTCAAACCCATGACCTTGGGTGATATTTCCCCCATTAAATTTGCAACAGGGCAATTTTTTCCAAACTTAAAATTGCCCCTTTTCAACGGAACTGAATTGACAGTGAACTGACTTTAGCTGAACAATGACACTATTTTATTTTAGAGCTGCTGTACAGCCGAAACTAGCCGTGTTTCCACCGCAGGAACTTTCCCTAGGAACTTTGGGGTGGTGGTACTCGGTGAATTTCGACCGCAGGAACCAGGGTCTAAATGAAGTTCCAGGTAAAAAATTTCCCCTCAGAAAGTCCCTGCTTGTGAGGTAGTACTTTTTCAAAGATCAAGAACTTTCGGGGGTGGGACTTGGGCGCTAAACATGCTGATTGGTTGACTCCACGCAGCATTTCATTTCAACCACCATTTTTAAAAATCTGTTGCGGTACGTGCAGTCCGACTCGCTTAATCTCCACGGTACTTTAGACCGCGGTGGAAACGCAGATAGCAAAGGGTCTGGGGGAAAAAAGTTCCTGGGACAAATTGTTCCGGGTAATTTCGGTGGAAACACGGCTTCTGTTGAATAATTTTCTTGTTATCACTGTAAAGCTGCATTGAAACAAGCTGCGCTATACAGTATACATTTAGGTGACTTGACTTGACTTATTAAATGGTCATTTAGGAATGAAGCACGTGACGTCTTTATTAATGAGTCATTGAATCATTCAGTCAATCGATTCTTTTAAAAAAAGGCGATTCATTCAGTAAGGAAAGATGCTCGGAGATGCACAACGGTAATGCAGTGGCAATATTGTGTCTAAAATGCAAGTAACTTAATATTAACTTCCTGTTTATTTGGCTGTTGTATAAAATCAATATACAACACTCTGCTTGTGTGATATTGCTTAACTATATATTATATGATACAAATATACAAAAATAAGAGCTCATACAGGGGTATTTTTTGTCTCCATATCTTAAAGGTGCAGTGTGTGATTTTTAGCGACATTTAGCGGTACGGTTGCGAGTTGCACTAAGGGCTCAGCCCACTGCTCACCCCTCCCTTTCGAAGAAGCTACGGTGGCTAAAACGGGACAAAGATATCGTCGTCTGAGACAGCAGAGAATAGCCAGAGTAAGCCAAGAGTGTGTAACATTGTCACTGTTTCTGTACTACAGACACAGTCCATTATAAACCACATCATGGATAAAGTTTACAACAGCCGTCCTGGCTGTTTTTTATAAAGTGATGAAAATGTCCTGGTTTTCAAAAAAACTGCTGGGAAAGATCAGCTTTACAGCAAAAATATAGATGGGCAAACAAGGAGGATGAGGAAGAAAAACAGGATAAAGAGGAAGAAAACTAAAGATATAAATATATTTTGTTAGTTCGTTTTTGTAAGTTTGTGAGAGCTATTTTTGTTCAATTTGGAGGTATTTCTTTTAGTTATTTATTATTTATATATTTATTTTTCTAATACAGAAGAGACATTATTTCTATCATTATTTTTGAAACCTGTCATAATAAAACATGTTGAGTAACCTCTGAGAAGCCTATCTGAATTTGTGTCTTGTAATATAACAATTTTCTATCCATACAGAGGAGGCATAGCCTACTTTAAATGTATTGAAATTAATAAGGCATCTTTGAGTAAACTTCGAGTATCATTTGAGTATCTGTTTGCTGGGCCGAGTGTCCTGGTTTTTGGTAATCAAAATATGGTCACCCTAATATGCATCATGTTTCTACAAAACATCAAGATCAAGTTTTTTTACATGGCTGACCTGATAGCTTGTTGATCTGTCATGTCGTAGTTTTTTCAGACAAAATCCAAAGCAGGAGAAGACAATACAGCACAGGAGAGTTATGAAGGTGAACAGAGTGATGGGCTGCATTGGACCTGCACAAGAGATAAAACATGAGGTAATGCTTTAATATGGAACAGAGTTGGAGACATGATTTTGTGGTCTTGGTCTTAAGATCTCTCAAAACCACATACAGTAAACATGGCTTTGGTCTGGGTCTGGGTCTCATTACTAGTCTCTTGGTTTGGGTCTGGTTCAGGAAATGTAGTTTATAATATCCTTAGACAAAACCACAGTCTTGCCTGCAATTTCCAACAAACTGGATTTACCTCAGGCAAAGGTCAGCAAAGTATCTTAACCATCAAAAAGAATTTGCAAGGATTGTCATGTTCTAATTGCCTACTGTCAAAGTGGCTCAGCATTTGAAAATTAATGCTGCAAAAAAATGCAACATTTTCTCCACTTCAGTTTATTGAAATGGACAGTCTGGTTCTTCGTCTGAGTATTGGGGATTATATCTTGGTCTGGATCTAGGCCTTGAGTGGTCTAGTCTTGATCTGAGTTGGGGTCTTATGGCGTCTGATATTGGTCTGAGTCTTGGAGTGTCTGGTCTTGACTCAAAGTAAACACATGTTCTACAGTGACAGATAAACACACCCTAATGTCAGATCATTCAGGTTTCCATTTTAAGTTACACAGTTATTATAGCAATACTTTTTTTTAAAGGTGCATTGCGCAACTTTTCATGTTAAAAATACCTGTTTTTCTATCCTATACATGCTTAAAGAACTGCCTGATGGGCTGAATGAGCCCTTCTCTGCGCACTGAGATTGCCTCTATAATCCTGTACAGTAAAATATATAAGAGGGATTCGGGCTCGAATTTGAGACTGGGCGTAACGTCATGGGCGTTCACGCTCACCAGGCTATGTCTCGCAGGTTTGTGTATTTGCCGGCGCCGCCATTCTCAGCATCAGCGAAGACAACTCGTGCGTCAAAGGTAGAAGATGGATTCTAAGAGACCGGCTTGTAGTCCATTCTAAACCCCAACGCAAACTCCACGTAAAGTAAAGAAAAGAAAAATTTTGTCTAGTGCCACCAAAAGGTCCAAATTGGAGTCAGACAGGCGTCGAAGTAAGACGAGAGTCAACCTCGGGAAGCAACAAATGGAGAGATCTCCGGTCTGCTCTTGGTCTCAAACGGGATCCTCAGTTGGCTTTTTTCTTGATAAAACGGTAAGATATAGCCTAGTCTCTAATATTTGATACGGCCAATCTATGTATGACAACAAATGACGATGCATAAAATGTGTAGTGCTTTAGCGTAAGCTAGATACATGTACAATCAGAATTGGTTACAGTTTCGCTTGTCGCCAGAGGGGGCGTAGTTCTGCAAAAACTCAGAGACTTGCGTTTTGCACCTTTAACTTAAGACAGTATTGTATTTGACAGATCTGTTTTTTTTTTTAAATGTGGTTTGGTTCTATTTAAAATAATAATAATAATGCAAGTATTGTGTTAATGCAATGTGGCACAATCACAGCTGATCAGAACATATTTAGTTTAGTACACATTTATGTGGAACATTGTGGACCAATGAGATTACACTGTGGGAGGGGAAACCCAGTTCCAATGTTGAACAGAAATTGAAACCAAAAGCGAATGACAAAATGTCTTGTTGCTCATTGATTGCCACAGCCATTGTGCATAGCTAAAGATATATAATACTAATTCTGATTTATCTTCCAAATACCTAGTGTTCTGGGTAATACCCCAGACTATACAGTATGAATAATATAATAACAATTTTATATAAACCAAGGAAAACTGCAACTGACCTTGATAGACAACAGTCACTTTTATAGTTTTATAGAAAAAAACAACTTTCACATTTTGATAGCTGTTTTGTAAAAATATTGTTGGATTCAATATCCTCTTCCAAAATCTGAGGGGGTACAACTGGAAATTTCGTTTCTGTGTGAACCTACCCAGTCTGAGCACAGAGAAGAACAGCAACCAGAACATGCAGAGAATGGGCGCCACCACCACTTGACTGATGGCGGCCGAATGGATCCGCTGGCTGAGTTTAGTGGGTATATAGGCGTAGTAGATATTATACCGATCTACCATATGCTTCAGCACGAGGTAAAGCAAACCTGCGAAATGAATAGAGCTGGAGTTATCAAATAAACTTTGATCTTTCTAAATTACAGTGTCATTTTTAAAAGCACTTTTCAGATGATTCAGCAGCAATGCTTTGTAGGTAAAGTCATCTTAGAAGAAGTTTTCCTGTCCGTTTATGCTACTGAACATAATATTTATATATTTACCTGTTTACATAGACCACATGTGAGTGCAAGTTGCCAAATGAATTCAGAACTAAGTGAAAAATCATGATGATGGATGTCAGCGTATAGTAAATAAACAGTCATGGTGTGTATTGGTGACAGAACAGGCGTGGAGTGGGCGTCTGGATCTTGGCTAGACGGGTCGGAGCGTCTGGAAGACTACAGCGGGTTCGCACCTAGCGGCCATGTCACACCGCGATACTGAGATGCTGTTGGAGATACGGCTCAGACGCCCACACAGACTGAGGACGGGAACGAGGTATTAGAACATGCACAGAGGTGGAAATGAAGAGTGACGGAAAGAAAAAAGAGAGCTGTGGGTAAAAAGGAACAGAGAGAATGAGAGGAAGAGAAAAATATGAAACAAATGGTGCAGAGATGATAGACAAATGGATTCGAGTGCAAATTAGGAGGAAAGTGGAATAAGGGAGGGGAACAAGAAATCCTAAAAGAACAGTCTGTTTGTAGAAAAATAAAACCCCTAAAATGACGCAGACTCACCAAAAGGTACAATGATGGGGCAAGTGATGCTGTAGGTCATACTGACTGAAAATATGCACATGGTCCAGGCATACTCAAGACCGAACTGAAACTCATAGGCCTGACTCTGAGGGTGAGAATGGAGAAATAGGTTGTTAGTGTATTTTAATGCCATTTAATGTTAAGTTTCGGTGATTAACAGTCACTAAGAACAGCCGCTGTATGGAAAAGAGTTGTGTAAAGATTCTTTAGATTCTCCTTTAGTGTTACACAATAAAAATAACAGTGAATGCGTTTGGAACGACATGAATGTGAAAAAATTATCAAAAAATATTATTTTTTATAGGAGAACTTCAGACAATTAAGCCACGTTTCCCCCCAAATTACCCGGAGCAATTTGTCCCAGGAACTTTTTCCCCTCAGACCTGTTGCGGTCTGCATTTCCATCGCGGCCTAAAGTACCGTGAAGATTAGGCAAAATAGTTGGGTGACGTAGGACTGGGCGCAACTTTCCAGTTCCCGCTGGACTTCGTCCTCCACATATAAGCTTAATAAAGCCTGAACCTCATCGTTGGTCCGCCGGTCGTATTTTTTAAACTCCATTGTCGATTCGAATAGCCAACAACTACTACTGCACAGACCGCAACAGCCTTTTAAAAATGGTGGTTGAAATAAAATGCTGCGTGGAGTCAACCAATCAAAATGCTGCATGAACTCAACCTATCAGCATGTTCAGCGCCCAAGTCCCACCCCAGAAAGTTCCTGAAAAAGTACTACCTCGCAAGCAGGGACTTTCTATGGAAGCTTGTTTCCGCCACTGAATAAAAAAAATAATAATAATAATTGCGACTTTTTATCTCACAATTGCGAGATATGAAGTCAGAATTGTGAGAAATAAAGTCGCAATTGCAAGATATAAAGTCGCAATTCTGAGAAATAAAGTCGCAATTGCGAGAAATAAAGTCGCAATTGCGAGATATAAAGTCGCAATTCTGAGAAATAAAGTCGCAATTGCGAGATATAAAGTCGCAATTCTGAGAAATAAAGTCGCAATTGCGAGATATAAAGTCGCAATTCTGAGAAATAAAGTCGCAATTGCGACTTTTTATCTCACAATTCTGACTTTTTTTCTCACAATTGCGAGTTTACATCTCGCAATTCTGACTTTATTTCTCAGAATTGTGAGATATAAACTTGCAATTGCGATTATCAGGCCAATTCTAAGGGGAAAAAAAGACTAACTTTTTCCCCCTCAGAATAGTTTATATCTCACAATTCTGACTTTACAACACGCAATTGCGACTTTATATCAATCAATTCTGACTTTATAACACGCAATTGGGACTTTATATCAATCATTTCTGACTTTATATCTCACAATTGTGACTTTATAACACGCTGTGGCGGAAACAAGCTTCCATAACTTTCTGAGGGGGAAATCTTTACCTGGAACTTCATTTAGACCCTGGTTCCTGCAGTCGAAACACAGAGTACCACCCCAAAGGTCCTAGTTCCTGGGGAAATTTCCTGCGGTGAAACGCGGCTACTATCAGTATAACATTATTTCTGTCAGGACCACTATCGTCAAATACGATTGACAGTTATTATACAGTTTAGATTGGCGGTATGGTTCTGGGCAAGACCTCCCTGGCATGCAGCCTAGCATGGATAAGAGCAGGGAGAGCAACAATAACCCCCCTTAGGGTAAACAGAACAGTAATTAATAAAGATTTAAATGTACTATTGTACTAAAATTAAAATTGTCAGGATTAACAAGTCAAGCCAGTCCGTGACAAGTATAGTTATTACTGTACAGGTTCACTCACTCTTTTAACGTGGATACGCTCAGCTTTAGATTTGGCAAAGCAAAGGCGAAGAGAGTACACCAGTAGGGCAGGAATACGCAAAAGCTCCATGGCCGTTCCGATCAGACTGGACGTGATCACATAGTTTAAAAAAAAAGCTCCGTTATCAGGCAAAAACACACACCTGAGTGGACAAAACAAAGTGGGTCTCAACAAATTATGCATGTTCTACATACATTAAACAACAGCTGTAGATTTAGGGAACAGTAAGAACTTACTGAAACTTTACATCTGTTTCATCCAGGAAGTGGATGTCAAAAAGCCACCTGAAGAACAAATCCAAGCTGGGGAGCAGACAAGAGAATACTGTATATTATATATAATCCTGAACATTATATATGGACACTTTAAACTGTGAATGTCAAAGTCTCAGCCTTTTGTTTAGTTTGTTTTAACCAACTGGTCTAAAGGTGATTTTTTGTGTGATGTCAGTTTAACCTTAAGGTGTAATCACCGGTGTAGTTGATCACATTAAAGGGATAGTTCACCAAAAAATGAACATTCTGTCATTAATTATTCACCATCATGTTGTTCCAAACCCGTAAGACATTCCTTCGGAACACAAATGAAGATCTTTTTAATGAAATCTGAGAGCTTTATCCCTCCATTGACAGCCTACGCAACTACCATTTTCAAGGCCCAGAAAGGTAGTAAAAACATTATTAAAGTAATCCATGTGACTCCAGTGATTTAACCTCAATTTTATGAAGCGATGCGAGTGCTTTGTTTGCGTAAAAAAACATAATTTTCCACTTTATTTACAAAACATGAATCTCCAATACGCGTTCACACAACAACATCAACAACGTGGTGCTCTCGTGAACGTTGAAGATTCATATTTTGTAAATAAAGTGGTAAATGTATAATAATTATTGACAGAATTTTTATTTTTGGGTGAAATATTCCTTTAACTATGAATATGATCCACTAATGTTTGGCAAACACAAAGTTTCCGGATAGATAGCCTATATCTATTGTTTTATGTTGTGAGATTAAACGATTTAAAAACGAGGTTCATAAAATTTTTTATAAACATTTAAAATTTCTGAGTTGACAGTCATTTTGAGAATTTTGTTGGGCTTAAAATCAAACATGTTCAGATAGTGTAACTGTCAGGGGATTGTGAAAAGGAAAATAGCCTAATTAAAAAAAAAATGTTGGCATAAGTAGGACATCCTTATTTATCACTGTCATTGACCCACATACATACTGTTTATAGTACTGTATATACAGAAACATTTTATTCTGAGACAAAATGGCAGACCAAAAAGGTATTTTTTAAATGATACCCTTGAAATGCTTTTATCGATGTGTTATTATACATATAATTATTGTAGGATGATTACCTGGATAGACCCAGTGATGGTAGAATGATTACCATGAAGACCAGCAGTAAAAAGCATTTGTGCATAGTGACCTGATTCTCACCGGACCTGAGAGAGACACACATTACAAGAAGTTTCAACTGATTACAACTGAACCAAACAATTAGAATAAATATATTAAAGTCACCATGAAATCAAAATTGACAATACTTGTATTTTTTTTATGGAATATCGCAGTATTCTAAATGATTTATCCTTGCACATCTTTTTTGCACATTTTTATTTAATTCATGTGCCCTCAATAATCTTACATCAAAATAATTCCCCTCCCTCTTGCAGCGACATATCTTCTCTTCTCTGATGATGTGTTTACTGGCGTGAGGGCGGGACAACCTGTCACTCACATGAGATCAACCAATAGCAAACCACAACCATCCAATCAATTCCCCATGGACAAAATCAAATCCCGCCCTACATTTTTTCTAGTTCGAGAAGCCATTTCACACAGATATACATCACAACAGGGAAGAAAATATTATTTTAACTTCTGTTTCATGTCAACTTTAAATAAATAATAATAAATAAATAGATTTTCATCTTTTTACATGATTTTACCATTCTATTCTTTTCCATTATCACACCAGTTCCTGGTTAAAGTCACATAAAACCACATTCTGACAGCCTAATGTGACTATTTCAGAGTAAAAATGTAAATTAATTTCGTAAATACTCAATTCTGATTTCATGTTGACTTTCATGTCGAGTGTATATTAATCATTAAAAGTGTTTGCACTGTAAATACAACAGGTAGACAAATGTTTTATTGCAAGTACTGCAGCTGCACAATACAGAGTGTTTGATCCACGTGAACTATAATGTGACTCTGTGAAAGACGCCGCCAGTCTGCATATGATTATTCCCGTGTTGTGATCACTATGACAACAAGCCTGGAGAGGCAAGCAGAGAGTGCAAGAGAGAGGGACACCATGTAAACGTGTTGTGCATGGGTGGGTGGGAGACTGAGGCTGGGTTGGGGGTTGTTCAGCAGTTATGCAATATGTTTGTGCGCTGATATGAACATGTTTATGCAATAGATTTAAGCTGCGTTGCAAATACAACTACCAACAGTACAAACTTACCATGGTCATTGGGACAACACCATATTTTTGTCAAGCAACACCTTACCTCCATTTCTCATTACCATAATAAAGGAAAATTCCATTGTTACTAATAATGAATTCGTTTTCTTAACCCTCTGGTGCTGTTTTTTTTTTTTTTTTTTTAAATTTGAAACGTTTTGGCACTTGCTATGTGAACACACACACACACTAACAGGGGAATTTTCTTTTAAGGTCTTTTTTCATAATATAACTTTAAATATGCATTTAAATTTTTTATTTTTTTTTTAAACATGCCAAGAGGGGACCTGCAACTCTGACCAATGGCTAACTATCCAACAGGGGACCTCCATACCCTGCAATGGAACTGTGTGTGTGTGAACAGTGAAGTGAACTGGTGGTGAAGTCTGTCTTCATTATGTAACTTGTATACACACACACACACACACACACACACACACACAAAATCATCAACATGATTCAAAAAGGTTGAATGGTTCAGAAAAAAAGACCCACTTGTATTGTTCAAGGTCAGAAATGGCCGCATTGGAAATGAATGAAAATCACATTTCATCTAGTGGAAACTTTTGGTACTGCGCCCACACATCACCTTGAAAGCTCATTTTTTGATATATCAACCTCAAATTTGGAACACAACTTGTGTAGATTTATGCCTTAGTTCTCACAGAGTAAAACATGTTTTAGAAAATATATATTTCATATACAATTTAAAAATAGTATTTTTTTTTTTTGCATTTTCATAATAAACCTAAACTTCTATATATTTTTTTACTTTACTTTACTTTTTTTTTTCACATCAGCAATAATCTTCTTTAAAAAGAGACCTAACTTAAGTCTGTGCTCCAAAGCATTCAATATTTATTTATTATTTTTAAGGTCTATGCTCAAAAAGTGATAAACAGGTAATAAATGGATCATAACTATTCCATAAATATAATTTAGTACAATAAAATCCTCTAAAAATACAAAATATTAAATAAAACAAACATTATTGAACTAAAATATTGTACATTGATTTCATTGAAAAAAAACAAACATGTGAGCAGTACTGAACTACCTAAAAGTTTTAATATATTGTGGTAGAATTTGTTGTTTATAATGGAAATTTAAATGATACAAATTCATATAAAAATATATATATTTAAAATATTTTTAAAAAATATACAATATTATGCAAAAGTTTGGGACCAGTAAGATTTTTTTAAATAAGCTAAAGTAAATACATTTACAATATTAACAATAAATGGCTGCAAGAAATTCATCTTTGTCGTCACAGGAATAAATTACATTTTAAAATATATTTAAAAAGGTCAGTTATTTAAAATTGTAGCAATATTTTACAATATTACTATTTTTTACAGTATTTTTGATCAAATAAATGCAGCCTTGGTGAGTATAAGAGACTTCTTTCAAAAATAATAAAATATCTGAATGGTATCATCCAAATGCATTATGGTAACAAATTCAAGTTGTTTTAACATTCGACAGGGAACATATTAGTAATACGTATTAAATTAATTCAATAATTGTGTTAATAAAACAATAATTTAATTTTAATTATAGTACAAATCAGTCATTTGAATGTGTGCTGGAGTAAAAAGACCTCCCTGCTGTAGCTTTCTCATATTTATACACAGTTTAAAGTCAGACGGCGGAAACGGCATCATACCTGGTCCAGTGGTACTCAAAGAAAGATGAATAGTACACAATGAAGGGCAGGAGAATGGAAAAGGCCCACAGGAGCAGGGTGGGGAAGAACTGGGTAATTACTGGGTTCTAGACAGTAGAAGACAGTAAAAGATCAAATTCAAAACATCCAACTTCCGAAAACAACACAAAAAAGACCTTTCAGTTTTATTTTATATTCTAATGTGGCGTAATACAGCCGTACGGTTATAAACTTCTTTGATGGTCACTGACCCTTAAGCTTTCAACTGGCCGAGTGACGTTGAACTTGTCCATAGTGTTTACGATGATAGCAGGGGTTGTGAGAAAGAAGAGCAAGAGGAAGAGCATAATGTTGAGCAGGACGCAGCGGAGCCACCAGCGAGAACCGCACACGGACAGATTTTCCCTGGAAGAACACAGGCACCAATCAACAAGACAAGGTCTTAACAACAGTAGCAGGACTGAGAGTGTGTGCTCGCCAAGAATAAGCGGGATGTTCAGCTGCTGTTACATAAATGGGAAGGTTTGTGCTGGAAAACACAGCCTTAGCTGGTTAGCTGGCCTCCCAGTCTGACAGAGCGGGTATTCAGCTGGTTTAGCTAGTGGTCTTCCAGCTCAAAACCAGCAACAGTGCCCCAAACACCTCTGAAACCAGTTTATGCCAGTTAAAGGTTGTTGGGTTGTTTTCAACAGGGACACAACATTGGTTCATTTATGATGTTCCATGGGATAGTCTACTACACTTACTCTTAAAGTCTGATATATGAAATAATAGTTTAAAAAAATATATTTTTTAAATGTATACAACCTAAATGTATACAAAATCTAAATAAAAAAAGTTTAGATATGTGTTCATATTTGATACGCCCAGCTTTTATGGCTCATATAGTATGATATAAGAAAATATGAACTTCAAGGGGGGAAAAAAACACCTAAAAATGTTTATATGAAATAATTCTAGTTTGTAATGTAAATCAATGAGATCTTTTTCATTTAGCAGACTACAGAGGCTACAGAGAGTAGCAGACTACTTATGCATAATGTATAAATATCAGTTTTCATGTCTTAGTGAGATGAGAGATTTAAATGCTTAGTTTACAATACAATGATTATTGAGAGATGAACAAATAAATGTTCCTCAAAAGTATCATATTTGATAACTTACATTTTATCAGGATTTTGTATGGATAATTAAATAGTAAATTACTTCTTCAGACCAGTAAGTGTTCATCTTACGTTTACTTTAAAAATCAGTAAAGATTTCAGAGCAAAAAGACACTTGTATCACGACCTGAAGGTGGATGTTTTCAGAATGATATTAAAAGGACTTTTACTTGCTATAAAAGTATAAACTATCAATCAGATGCCAGAAGGCCTGCAGTAGATTGTGTACAACAGGTTTTTCAGCAAAGTTTTGATCATTTTGATCATGTCTAAATAATTTCAAATACGATACAGTAGGCTTTAAAGAGTTAAAAGGATTGTTCACAAAAAATGAAATTTATGACATTATAAAGGTTCATTTCGTTCCAAACCTTCATGACTTTATTTCCTCTGCAGAACACAAAAGAAGACATTTTGAAAACTGTTTCTGTCCATGTAAAGAAAGTCAAAAGTCTTCAAAACAACACTGAACCTCATTTACTTTGATTGCATGGACATTAAAACAAAATCTTTTATTATTATTTTTAGTTCCGCAAAATAAAACTCTCACACACTCTTTTTTTGATTTTGGTAAACTGAACATAATTGACTATGTTCTTCCAGTTGATTTCCAATGTATTTAAATGGAAAAACATATATATATATATATAAAAGTTCTCTCATTAATATAAGTAAAATAAGTAAAACCCAAATAAGCCCATGCAAAAAAAGAACAAAATATAATGAGTTCAGATTTGCAGGTTTGGAACAACATGAGGATGTAAATGATGAATAAATGATGACAGATTTGTCATTTTTAGGTGAACTACCCGTTTAAGTAAAAGCAGTGCACATGAAAGGCATAAAAATGAGAATGAGGTTTACATAAAGTGGAAACAAATACCTTTCGAAAGTAATCGTTTCCACTCTATAATTTTCCAAAATTGCAAAACCATGTACTCTATAAATGCAGTGCTACAAAACATTGAACTCATGGGCTACACTGAAATGGAAAACATTCACACTTCAATAAATTGTTTTAATAAGAAGCAAACATGCTACAACATTAGGGCTTGTATCCATAAAAAAGAAAGTCTTGAATTCAGACAAATGCACAAACACACACACACACACACACACACACATACGTCCAGTCAAGCAGAAAGACGGACTGACACTGTCCCCCCCCCACACACACACCCACACAAACTAACACTCACTCAATATATGATTCTCAACACATATTATGTAAGAGATATAATGGCTTTCACAGTGGCTGTCTAGGCACACACTCAGATTGAGACTTAATTAATCCAATTTCATCTCTCAAATCCAAGTGTAATGGCCTGGAACAAAGCATGTCATGAAAAATATATATGACTCCAACTTTGCAGATCACAGTTAACATAACCGTCTACTTAAAAAACGTTAAATAAAACATCACATAAAACATTGTAAATCTTGACCATTTCATAAAAGCATTTGCTCATTGCGGTTATTTCTATACTTTTTCCTATTTCAAGATATAGATGTGGCTATGGTTTCGACTTACCAGATGATGTCATTAGGGGCAGGGGCATAAGAAACACCCCACTGATGGGCCCGCACCACTGTGGTAATGCTGGACTGCTGGGGTCTGTGGCGGCAGCGAGCTCGGCTGTAGTCTTTCACAATACTGCAGAAACATAAGCACAGAGGCTTATAGATTTAAACAATAAGGTATGAGAGAACATGTTTATATATATATATTTTTCAAATGTAGTCTACTCAGTAGAGTACCAAATTACTATATTGTGGTTTTTATCATACTGTATTGACCAATCAGAAGCCAGCACCAGAATTTAGTGTTGTATAAACTTATATATAAAGCTGTTTATTGTAGTATACTAAATAAAAGCTATTCTAAGTTGCAAAGGTTTGGTAAGAAAGAGTTTGATGTACAAGAGTTTCTTGATTTATTTTTTGGTAAGGGACAGTATTAATAATGAGCATGGGATCTATACCAATAAATCTATACTTCAAAATTATTATTTTTGAACTTATAAAACTAGTCTGATAGAAACAAACTGATTTCCTGTCATACAATACAGCACCAAACTGCCCACATTTCAGTTTGTGAGTTTTTTATTTAGTTAATTATTAGATGAAAAGCTAATAATTACAGTAATTATATAATTTTAAATTAGAATATTTAGTTTGTTAGGATTTTATCTGTATACACTCTCAGAAAAAAAAGCTGTCACTGGGACAGTACCCTTTCAAGGTACTAATATGCACTCTTTAGGGGTAAATTATGATGGCAGAATGAGCTCAGCCTGAAGGACTGAAGGAAACACATGCACATATAAAACACACCAGCAAATTAAGACAAAACCTTCATCAGTTTGATGACAACATGTGCTGCAAATAACAACATAACCAGATACAGAAACACACTGCAAATACTCACAACATAACCAGATACAGAAACACACTGAAAATACTCACAATGGACGATATGATCAGGATTTTAAATTAAACAAAAAACTCGCCCCTCAGGTCATCGACAACACTTACAAGGAGACATTGAACAATAAGCATGTCCCAGTCAGGTTCGACACCTGTTGGGGTCCCCTTGAAACATTTCCGCTGTGGTCTGTGCTTTTTTAACCGCGTTTCTGTATCTGGTTGCGTTGTAAGTATTTGCAGTGTTTCTGTATTTGGTTGCGTTGTGAGTATTTGCAGTGTTTCTGTATCTGGTTGCGTTGTGAGTATTTGCAGTGTTTCTGTATTTGGTTGCGTTGTGAGTATTTGCAGTGTTTCTGTATCTGGTTGCGTTGTGAGTATTTGCAGTGTGTTTCTGTATCTGGTTGCGTTGTGAGTATTTGCAGTGTTTCTGTATCTGGTTGCGTTGTGAGTATTTGCAGTGTGTTTCTGTATTTGGTTGCGTTGTGAGTATTTGCAGTGTTTCTGTATCTGGTTGCGTTGTGAGTATTTGCAGTGTTTCTGTATCTGGTTGCGTTGTGAGTATTTGCAGTGTTTCTGTATTTGGTTACGTTGTGAGTATTTGCAGTGTGTTTCTGTATCTGGTTGCGTTGTGAGTATTTGCAGTGTGTTTCTGTATTTGGTTGCGTTGTGAGTATTTGCAGTGTGTTTCTCTATCTGGTTGCGTTGTGAGTATTTGCAGTGTTTCTGTATTTGGTTACGTTGTGAGTATTTGCAGTGTGTTTCTGTATCTGGTTGCGTTGTGAGTATTTGCAGTGTTTCTGTATCTGGTTGCGTTGTGAGTATTTGCAGTGTTTCTGTATCTGGTTGCGTTGTGAGTATTTGCAGTGTTTCTGTATCTGGTTGCGTTGTGAGTTTTTGCAGTGTTTCTGTATCTGGTTGCGTTGTGAGTATTTGCAGTGTTTCTGTATCTGGTTGCGTTGTGAGTATTTGCAGTGTTTCTGTATCTGGTTGCGTTGTGAGTATTTGCAGTGTTTCTGTATCTGGTTGCGTTGTGAGTATTTGCAGTGTTTCTGTATCTGGTTGCGTTGTGAGTATTTGCAGTGTGTTTCTGTATCTGGTTGCGTTAACTTGTGAGTATTTGCAGTGTTTCTGTATCTGGTTGCGTTGTGAGTATTTGCAGTGTTTCTGTATCTGGTTGCGTTGTGAGTATTTGCAGTGTTTCTGTATCTGGTTGCGTTGTGAGTATTTGCAGTGTTTCTGTATCTGGTTGTGTTGTGAGTATTTGCAGTGTGTTTCTGTATCTGGTTGCGTTGTGAGTATTTGCAGTGTTTCTGTATCTGGTTGCGTTGTGAGTATTTGCAGTGTTTCTGTATTTGGTTGCGTTGTGAGTATTTGCAGTGTTTCTGTATCTGGTTGCATTGTGAGTATTTGCAGTTTGTTTCTGTATTTGGTTGCGTTGTGAGTATTTGCAGTGTTTCTGTATCTGGTTGCGTTGTGAGTATTTGCAGTGTTTCTGTATCTGGTTGCGTTGTGAGTATTTGCAGTGTTTCTGTATCTGGCTGCGTTGTGAGTATTTGCAGTGTTTCTGTATCTGGTTGCGTTGTGAGTATTTGCAGTGTTTCTGTATTTGGTTGCGTTGTGACTATTTGCAGTGTGTTTCTGTATCTGGTTGCGTTGTGAGTATTTGCAGTGTTTCTGTATCTGGTTGCGTTGTGAGTATTTGCAGTGTTTCTGTATTTGGTTGCGTTGTGAGTATTTGCAGTGTGTTTCTGTATCTGGTTGCGTTGTGAGTATTTGCAGTGTTTCTGTATCTGGTTGCGTTGTGAGCATAGGCGTCATTTACGGGGGGGACGGGTGGGACATGTCCCCACCACTTTTTGCCAGGGTCGATATTGTCCCCACCACTTTTGAAACATCTCGCGGCACGGATGTACCAATACAAATAAAACATCTCCAGTTAACTAGCAGCATTCGTTTCATTCATTTGTTAAATAAGAGGCGATCTAGCGCTGAAATGTGTTGTCTTCACTCGGACGCGCGCTTCAATCCGTTGCGGAGATTCTATTCGTTCCGGTGAAATCACAAATCAAAATGCACACAAACGTGTCCCTGCTTCTCTGGGTTCTAATCCGCACTCGTATAGTTTTTTTTCCCTCATCAAAGCCGATAATGTTTATCAGTGATAAAGTATATCAAGATTCTTGATATACAACCACCGATAAACATTATCGGTTTTGATGAGAGAAAAAAAACTATACGAGTGCGGATTAGAACCCAGAACCTCCGACACGCTTGGCAAAAATTCTGCCACTGGACCATTACAGTACATACGCAACACAGGCGGATCTATGTATTTATTCGCGTAAAAATTCACGATACGAACAACATATATTAGATCTCATTGTACGACCAATTAAACCCAAAGTACCATCACATTTTTGGTCGGACATCATCACATCTTTGTATACATTTTTATTTATTTACATCAGTAAGCTACAGGACATCGTCTTTCAAAACATGACCTGCGCGAAAGAGAAAAAAGAATGAATGTGTCATTGGACCCACCCCTTTTGAAAATGCCCTTCCGAATGCGTCTCTGTCCCCAGCACATTTCAAACCAAACTGACGCCCATGGTTGTGAGTATTTGCAGTGTTTCTGTATCTGGTTGCGTTGTGAGTATTTGCAGTGTTTCTGTATCTGGTTGCGTTGTGAGTATGTGCAGTGTGTTTCTGTATTTGGTTGCGTTGTGAGTATTTGCAGTGTTTCTGTATCTGGTTGCGTTGTGAGTATTTGCAGTGTTTCTGTATCTGGCTGCGTTGTGAGTATTTGCAGTGTGTTTCTGTATTTGGTTGCGTTGTGAGTATTTGCAGTGTGTTTCTGTATTTGGTTGCGTTGTGAGTATTTGCAGTGTTTCTGTATCTGGTTGCGTTGAGAGTATTTGCAGTGTGTTTCTGTATCTGGTTGCGTTGTGAGTATTTGCAGTGTTTCTGTATCTGGTTGCGTTGTGAGTATTTGCAGTGTGTTTCTGTATCTGGTTGCGTTGTGAGTATTTGCAGTGTTTCTGTATCTGGTTGCGTTGTGAGCATTTGCAGTGTTTCTGTATCTGGTTGCGTTGTGAGTATTTGCAGTGTGTTTCTGTATTTGGTTGCGTTGTGAGTATTTGCAGTGTTTCTGTATCTGGTTGCGTTGTGAGTATTTGCAGTGTTTCTGTATCTGGCTGCGTTGTGAGTATTTGCAGTGTGTTTCTGTATTTGGTTGCGTTGTGAGTATTTGCAGTGTGTTTCTGTATTTGGTTGCGTTGTGAGTATTTGCAGTGTTTCTGTATCTGGTTGCGTTGAGAGTATTTGCAGTGTGTTTCTGTATCTGGTTGCGTTGTGAGTATTTGCAGTGTTTCTGTATCTGGTTGCGTTGTGAGTATTTGCAGTGTGTTTCTGTATCTGGTTGCGTTGTGAGTATTTGCAGTGTTTCTGTATCTGGTTGCGTTGTGAGCATTTGCAGTGTTTCTGTATCTGGTTGCGTTGTGAGTATTTGCAGTGTTTCTGTATTTGGTTGCGTTGTGAGTATTTGCAGTGTTTCTGTATCTGGTTGCGTTGTGAGTATTTGCAGTGTTTCTGTATCTGGTTGCGTTGTGAGTATTTGCAGTGTTTCTGTATCTGGTTGCGTTGTGAGTATTTGCAGTGTGTTTCTGTATCTGGTTGCGTTGTGAGTATTTGCAGTGTTTCTGTATCTGGTTGCGTTGTGAGTATTTGCAGTGTTTCTGTATCTGGTTGCGTTGTGAGTATTTGCAGTGTTTCTGTATCTGGTTGCGTTGTGAGTATTTGCAGTGTTTCTGTATCTGGTTGCGTTGTGAGTATTTGCAGTGTTTCTGTATCTGGTTGCGTTGTGAGTATTTGCAGTGTTTCTGTATCTGGTTGCGTTGTGAGTATTTGCAGTGTTTCTGTATCTGGTTGCGTTGTGAGTATTTGCAGTGTTTCTGTATATGGTTGCGTTAACTTGTGAGTATTTGCAGTGTTTCTGTATTTGGTTGCGTTGTGAGTATTTGCAGTGTTTCTGTATCTGGTTGCGTTAACTTGTGAGTATTTGCAGTGTTTCTGTATCTGGTTGCGTTGTGAGTATTTGCAGTGTGTTTCTGTATCTGGTTGCGTTGTGAGTATTTGCAGTGTGTTTCTGTATCTGGTTGCGTTGTGAGTATTTGCAGTGTGTCTATCTGGTTGCGTTGTGAGTATTTGCAGTGTTTCTGTATCTGGTTGCGTTGTGAGTATTTGCAGTGTTTCTGTATTTGGTTGCGTTGTGAGTATTTGCAGTGTTTCTGTATCTGGTTGCGTTGTGAGTATTTGCAGTGTTTCTGTATCTGGTTGCGTTGTGAGTATTTGCAGTGTTTCTGTATTTGGTTGCGTTGTGAGTATTTGCAGTGTTTCTGTATCTGGTTGCGTTAACTTGTGAGTATTTGCAGTGTTTCTGTATCTGGTTGCGTTGTGAGTATTTGCAGTGTGTTTCTGTATCTGGTATCTGGTTGCGTTGTGAGTATTTGCAGTGTGTTTCTGTATCTGGTTGCGTTGTGAGTATTTGCAGTGTGTCTATCTGGTTGCGTTGTGAGTATTTGCAGTGTTTCTGTATCTGGTTGCGTTGTGAGTATTTGCAGTGTTTCTGTATTTGGTTGCGTTGTGAGTATTTGCAGTGTTTCTGTATCTGGTTGCGTTGTGAGTATTTGCAGTGTTTCTGTATCTGGTTGCGTTGTGAGTATTTGCAGTGTTTCTGTATTTGGTTGCGTTGTGAGTATTTGCAGTGTTTCTGTATCTGGTTGGGTTGTGAGTATTTGCAGTGTTTCTGTATTTGGTTGCGTTGTGAGTATTTGCAGTGTTTCTGTATCTGGTTGCGTTGTGAGTATTTGCAGTGTTTCTGTATCTGGTTGCGTTGTGAGTATTTGCAGTGTTTCTGTATCTGGTTGCGTTGTGAGTATTTGCAGTGTTTCTGTATTTGGTTGCGTTGTGAGTATTTGCAGTGTTTCTGTATCTGGTTGCGTTGTGAGTATTTTTCAGTGTTTCTGTATCTGGTTGCGTTGTGAGTATTTGCAGTGTGTTTCTGTATCTGGTTGCGTTGTGAGTATTTGCAGTGTTTCTGTATCTGGTTGTGTTGTGAGTATTTGCAGTGTTTCTGTATCTGGTTGCGTTGTGAGTATTTGCAGTGTTTCTGTATCTGGTTGCGTTGTGAGTATTTGCAGTGTTTCTGTATCTGGTTGCGTTGTGAGTATTTGCAGTGTTTCTGTATCTGGTTGCGTTGTGAGTTTTTGCAGTGTTTCTGTATCTGGTTGCGTTGTGAGGATTTGCAGTGTTTCTGTATATGGTTGCGTTAACTTGTGAGTATTTGCAGTGTTTCTGTATTTGGTTGCGTTGTGAGTATTTGCAGTGTTTCTGTATCTGGTTGCGTTAACTTGTGAGTATTTGCAGTGTTTCTGTATCTGGTTGCGTTGTGAGTATTTGCAGTGTGTTTCTGTATCTGGTTGCGTTGTGAGTATTTGCAGTGTGTTTCTGTATCTGGTTGCGTTGTGAGTATTTGCAGTGTGTCTATCTGGTTGCGTTGTGAGTATTTGCAGTGTTTCTGTATCTGGTTGCGTTGTGAGTATTTGCAGTGTTTCTGTATTTGGTTGCGTTGTGAGTATTTGCAGTGTTTCTGTATCTGGTTGCGTTGTGAGTATTTGCAGTGTTTCTGTATCTGGTTGCGTTGTGAGTTTTTGCAGTGTTTCTGTATCTGGTTGCGTTGTGAGTATTTGCAGTGTTTCTGTATCTGGTTGCGTTGTGAGTATTTGCAGTGTTTCTGTATCTGGTTGCGTTGTGAGTATTTGCAGTGTTTCTGTATCTGGTTGCGTTGTGAGTATTTGCAGTGTTTCTGTATCTGGTTGCGTTGTGAGTATTTGCAGTGTGTTTCTGTATCTGGTTGCGTTAACTTGTGAGTATTTGCAGTGTTTCTGTATCTGGTTGCGTTGTGAGTATTTGCAGTGTTTCTGTATCTGGTTGCGTTGTGAGTATTTGCAGTGTTTCTGTATCTGGTTGCGTTGTGAGTATTTGCAGTGTTTCTGTATCTGGTTGCGTTGTGAGTATTTGCAGTGTGTTTCTGTATCTGGTTGCGTTAACTTGTGAGTATTTGCAGTGTTTCTGTATCTGGTTGCGTTGTGAGTATTTGCAGTGTTTCTGTATCTGGATGCGTTGTGAGTATTTGCAGTGTTTCTGTATCTGGTTGCGTTGTGAGTATTTGCAGTGTTTCTGTATTTGGTTGCGTTGTGAGTATTTGCAGTGTTTCTGTATCTGGTTGCGTTGTGAGTATTTGCAGTGTGTCTATCTGGTTGCGTTGTGAGTATTTGCAGTGTTTCTGTATCTGGTTGCGTTGTGAGTATTTGCAGCACGTGTTGTCAAACTGATGAAGACGTTTTCTTAATTTACAGGTGTTTTTTTCAATTTGCATGTTTTTTCTTTAGTTGCAGCACGTTGAGCTCTTTTGGCCACTGTAGTAATGGGTACAAACTAAGGCCCACCCTTTAAAAGGGTACCGCACCAGTGACAGCTTTTGTACCTTTTTTTTTTGACGGTGTATCTACATGTCATCACTATTATAAGTCATTATTAACTGACATCAAAGAACAATGTACATACAACACTTTACTACATTTCATAATGCTTAAAAAGTCATTATTTTGAATGTTAAAATTAGTTAAGTTAGAAGGTTTGTGATTTTTATTCTGTATGTTTCATACTGTATATGTTCCACATGGACCCCTAGACTACCTTTAGGGAACCTGAGGGCTCTATGAGACTAAATATAGAAATGAAATAAAAAAAATTCTGATAGCTACAGTAGAGTCTAGTGGTTCAGCTGTCAGCAGATCTGCTTCATGTTGATGTTAAATGTTTTAAAATAAAAATACTTTTATATTCTTAAAATCTAGGTATTCATTACAGGACCTCTTGATGGATGATGCTGATTCTCAATAATCAGCCATTTACCCCCAACACTTACACTGCAGTCATCCTCTCATCTCTGAAGGTAACAAAGGCAATGCCCAGCCTCTTCATAGAGATCCGGTTCTTCTCTGCATTAAACTCATCCGTCAGTTTCTCCTCCAGCTCACTGTAGTACTGCTCTGCATCCACCTGATGAGAGGACAATCACAATAGACATGAGAAGAAGAGTATCTCCTCACAGAGCAGTTCATGACAGTCAGTTGGTGTGTGGTGGTCTCCAGTGGCCAACATGAAGAGGTGCAGCACCAGTCACATGACTATTCTATATGTAGATATCCATTCTGACTATAATGAGTGCGTGAGGGACATTTACCTGTTCAAAGCCACATATATCACAGCAGAAGATCTGTGCACAGGGGTGCGTCTTTATCAAGATCCTGCCTTCCTTCTGAGCTTTGGTTGCGAAGTACAGCCTTCCTTTCATTGCTTTTCGCCTGTACAGGATATAGTTTTAAGGCCCGTTCACACAAAGAATGATAACATCCACACCAAAGCATGAAATGATTCTGTTTATTCTAAGCGCGCGCTGCAGTTACGAGCATAAGTCGTCTGCCGCTTTAAATGCTTGAGCTCATTAAAGTCTGTTTGGCTGTCATAGTTTTTATCATTCATCAGCTGGAAAGAATGGTTCTGACAGTGATTGCAACAATATCGTGGTGTGAACTCTGCAATTCTTTTATATTTAGAAAGATTTCTAGAAATATATCTTTACCATTATCGTTATCGTCCTTGGTGTGAATGTGCCTTTAATATGGTTAAATATGCAATATTTGCGAGACTCAGCTCTTAGACATTCAGGAGATGTGAGAATGCGAATGACCTTTCAGAGTCCAGCTTCATTAGTTTTTGTACGTCAAAGCAGAACCGGATGTCTGTAACGGTGCAGCTGGGGTAGGCTTCACTGTTTGGAGATAGAACAGACGTTGGCACAAGTGAAAAATGAAAGCCATCAGTTGTGTTGACATTTAATCTCCAATATGCTGAAGTATGGAGATTAAGTAATAGTTGAAATTCTGTAGAGAACAGCTTTGTGCTCTTCACTCACTGCAGGTGTTTGGTGATCAGGCCGGGATCAGAGATTTCTCTTGGAATTGACGTTATCATTAGAGTTCTGGCCACCTGCAATAATAATAAATCAAAAATGAGAGCTAGAAGTGTATTTCATGAAGCAAATGTTGGTGGTTGCAAGACGGCAAAAGAACAATGTTGCTTTTTTGGTAGGAACATGATCAAATATGCCTTCTAATGAATCAACTTCACAGGTATGATCTGAATGGTCAATGAAAGATTATAAAAACGTTTATTTAATTTCATGTGAATAGCATATTTTTCACTTGATTCACATAATCGTAATGCAAATATATATATATATATATATATATCCATTTATAATTTAATTCGCAAAGCATTTATATATCATATGTTGTAGTATATTTATCATTCTTTTTTTTTTGGATAAAATAAAATAAATTAATTTTACAGAGCCCCATGTAACATGCAGGAACAAATAAATATATATATATATATATATACATATAAATATATATCGTGGGCACGAGTATACAATTCGTTCCCACAACTTAAAATAAAGAAATAAAATAAAATACAATTAAAATAAACTTACTAGTACGTCAGCACGATTTACTAATTCCTTCCCTTGTCTTAAGTAAATCGCATGTGCGATATAATAATTAATTCCCTCGATTTACTAAATCATGGCCACATTGTAAGAATTTGTTGCCTTGTTTTCGTTAAGCCAAACCGAGGGAACAAATTACAGTATTTCAACGTAGACATAATTTACTTAAACGAGGGAATGAATTACTAAATCATGGGAACTAATTCTTTCATTTGTAGCCACGGTTTAACTAAAACGAGATAACTAATTCTTAATCCGCATGTCATGTGCAGGGCTCCGTGAAATAGTGTCCAGACAGGGCGATTTTCATTTATGTATTACCGTAAAGAGAATCTAATGAAAATTACTGAGAGTAATGAGAAATGCAAACTAACAAAAGTTAAACATCTGAAGGCATTGCTAGGCGAGGCGTCATAAAAATAATGTCACAATGCCAAAAATCCAAATGTATGTAAAAACAGACTTCCAGCTAAATACAATACAGTTTATTATTTATTATTAATGACATTTCTCTTTAAATTTAAGAGGAAATAAGGACGTTTTTAGATTTTTTGAGATTCACTGGCTCCCCTTGCAAGCACTGTAAAACGCAGAAGCATTTATGGAACAGAAATGAGATGCAATAACACGTATGCACACAATACAGCTGTTCACAGACCTTCTCGTCCTCTTTGTATTTCTGTTGTGAGGAGTGATGGGCCATGCACAGGACGGTGATCACAAAATACAGCAGGGCAAAGATACTGTGCAACCACAGAAATGTGTTCCTAAAGCAAGAAGAAGAGAGTTACTAAGATCATGCCAACAACTTCATAAACATGTACATACACAACAAGGTAATGCATTCATGTGTACATCCATCATAATAAACAAACTTACTGTGCAGGGACATTAACCACTGTTGTTCGGCCGAAATTCTGTGGACTATCTCCTGCAAAACATAGGAATAAACAAGTCGTGTTAAGATTTCATGCTCTTGTCAAATACCAGTGTCAAAAATACAACTCTGGAAGTAATTTGAGGCCTGTGAATGTGGAATAAAGAAACTCTCTACACCCAAATCACTACGCATTAGGTTTGGTTGCTAGGACAAATTTGTGAACGTGCTGGTTTATTTCACAAATACAGTGACAATTTGTTGCATAGAGATGACTGTCAGCATCAAAACCCCCAACTTATTGTAACCAGCCGGCCCTGAAGCTGCACCACAAACTGGTCTACCACACGTCCACATTTAACGCTTTTAGAAGGCCACAGTAAACTTCTGCCACCGAGGTCGCATGAAAAGATTATTGCAGGTCTGAGAACAACAAGAGGTAAAGCTGGTGGCTTTTCACAATGTTCTTCTTGTGGCGTGGACAGTCAAGGCCTTTCCCATATTTAACTTGGCCCTTCTAACCCTCTATGGTGCCACCCAACCATCTTCAAACACTGTAGGGTGGTCTGAATGATGCTTTTACACACGTCCACTAATAGAGGGTTCAGACGGAGCCCTTCTACATCTTCAAGAGTTTTCCCAGGCCTTTCCTAAAGTCATTCATCGGCAGGCCCACCAGGAATCTGCATCCGCAGCACTCTGCAGATTTCCTGCCATACACAAAGTTTTTTTTTGTCATTTTCCCCAGTTCCCTCCAAATCAGTACAAAACAAATGTACACTACTGTTCAAAGGTTTGGAGTCAGTACGAGTTTTTTTTTGTGGTGTTTTTAATGTTTAAGATTTTGAATGAAGTCTCTTATGCCCACCAAGTCCGCTTTTATTTATTTTTATACAGTAAAAAATGTGAAATATTATTACAATTTTAAATAACTGATTTCTATTTTAATATATTTTAAAATGTAATTTAATCCTGTGATGCAAAGCTGAATTTTTAGCATCATTACCCCAGTCTTCAGTGTCACATGATCCTTCAGAAATCATTCTAATATGCTGATTTGCTGCTCAAAGAACATTTATTATTATTATCAATGTTAAAATCAATTGTACTGATTAATATTTTTGGGTACACGGAATTTAAGGATTCTTTGATGAATAGAAAGTGCAAAAGAACAGCATTTATTTGAAATAGAAAGTCTTAAAACTGCTACTTTTGATCAATTTAATGCATCTTTTAAGCATTTTCTTTTTAATTACTGACCCCAAACTTGTTAACAGTAGTGCATATATAATTAGGGGTGGAACGGTACATGTATTCGTATTGAACCGAAACGGTACGGGCGTCACGGTTCGGTGCACGAATTTACACGGAGAATACACGGTATAAAAATAAATAAAACTCGCGTGCAAATTAATTAATGTAATGCCGAACTACTGTTAGATACGCGGGTTCTTTAGGGACACATAATCTGTAGCATCGGCTTAGCTCTGAACGCGCGTTCACTTCAAACGTTGGCTTTACGCGCGTTCTATTCGCTTTGGACTAGCGTCGAACTAGACGCGAATTTGACGCTCTATTCGCGTTTGGTGTGACCGTGACCGCATAATGAACAGGCTGCGATGTCAAGATTGCAATGCTGGAGTGTGTGTTTGTTTGTGTGTGTGTTTGTGTGTGTGTGTGTGTGTGTGTGAGAGAGAGAGAGAGAGAGAGAGAGAGAGAGAGAGAGAGGCGCGCGGGCGCGATCGAACTGATTGAGTGTGAGTGTGAGTGTGAGAGAGAGAGGCGCACGATCGAACAGTGGAAACATAAAAAACATACTCCGTCATTTTGTTCCTACAGATCACTAAACCTGCAAAGTGTTTACTTATATTTGTGTACACTCGCAATAAAACACAACATTGTGCTTTTGTCACACTGTAAACTCTTGTCAAACTGTAACCTACAACTGTCACCCAACCAAAATCACACAAACACACACACACACTGTTTTAAAAGCAAAACATATTTATCCAACTCCATTTCAAAACAGTCTGTGGGTCCCATCTTTTAGACATTCATCATATTGCATTGGTTTTCATTTCTTGTCCTCGGAGCACTAATCTTACACGTTCTACATTGATTAAAAAAGAAAATCAAATGTTTTTAATGGTAGTATTATTTTATACATGCAGAAATCAATTATTTATAATTCAGATGAGAATAATGTTACATTGTCAATAATAATGTTAATTAAAATTAAGGAAAACAAATATATTGATCTGAAATATAGCAAAATAATTTCAAATTAATAGTACAATTACCAAACATATTGCAAGGTCTTTTTGTCTTTTTATTAATTTAATTAATAAACTAATTATATAAAACTATTGTCAGTGCACTGCAAATAAACTGGTTCTATGCCTTTATTAATAAAACTTATTTAAAAAATACAATGCCTTCTGCATTTTTGTTTTGCTTTTCCCACCATTGTACCGAAATCGTACCGAACCGTGATGTCTGAACCGAGGTATGAACCGAACCGTGACTTCTGTGTACCGTTCCACCCCTAATATATATATATATATATTTTTTTTCACTAGTACTCTATTCCGAACAAAAGCAACACGGCCCGATTTTTTTTTACACTCTAGAAATGAACCTATGAATGTTTTAAAGGTTTTGAGAAAGTATTTTAACATTGACAAAATTGCATACTTAATCTTTCAATTTTATTTTCCTTTTAGAACGTCCTTTAGATCAATGTCAGAGCATGGCATCATGCATTTAACAGTCATTTTGAGGTCACTCGAGCCAAATTCTATCTGAGAAAGAAACTCTAACACTAACAATCTGTCAAAACTGATTCATGAGATTATTCTAAACTGGAGTCTGTTTTTAGGTGCATGCTGATGAATTAAGATGTAATGCTGGTGTAATGCTTTATTCAAGTATACTGCCTTTTCCTGGATACCAAACGTGTTGTGTCTGTTGTCATGAATCCTTTATGGCTGAGCAATACTACAGCAAATAGTAACCAAGCAATTGAGGATCTGGTGGAGGTACCGAGGAGGTTCCCGGAGAGGTTGACGGGCAAGATGATGGTGAGCGACAGCAAACACACCACCATCAAGAGAATGATGATGTGGCGCTGGAAAGACAGGTACGTGATTGCGTCAATGCCACATTTACTGCGGATCTCCTCGTCCCTGTGGGAAAAGAACAGGGACAAAAAAGCTTCTTTAAAAAATAATGACATTTTTTCATTAGGCAAACATGTTCATCCAAAGTATGAGGGTCAACGACATGATTCATGACAACAACATTTTTTATCCCATCCATTAATTTATACAAAAATACACTACATAGATTCAGTTTTTTTTTTATCTTCTGAATTAAATATTATTTTTTAAGTCATTTTTTATATAAAAAGTGAAAGTAAAAAAAAAGTTATTTAACTGTCAACAGTTCTGATACTGTAATGAAGGAAAAAGCCAAAAAAAAAAAAAAAACATTATTAAAGGCTTTGGCATAATCATCTGTTGTGGTGGATCAACTAACATGCAGAAACATAAAAAAACAACAACAAAAAAACGGGAAATGATATCAGAAACCCTACAGACTCTTCTAAATATTTATTGCCAAGGTCAATAAATCTCTTATAATATCAGATAATGTGACATTTTTAAGTAGTTCATTTTTGTCAAATGTCATGTGGCGCGACTCTCCAAAACCGCACCGCACATATTTATCAGTTGACTTTCACTGTCCCGCTTTATTTATTGCTTTTTTTTTTCGTATCACATATTTTAGTAATCATCGTAAATTAGGTATCACTCGAAAGCTTAAACACTCAAAATTCATCCCGTGAAAACCATTTTGAAATTGGATATTGCATTACCATGGAAACAGTACTTTAAAACCTTTTAGCGGGCTCCTCCCCCTAGTGGGTGGTGTCATGTTTTATTTCACAATTCTACAGTTTTTACTGTATTTTTGGTGAGTATAAAAGTCAAAAACCTTTAAAAATATTACCGACCCCAAGCTTTTGAACTGTAGTGTATATTAAAGTTTTTCAAAACAACATGAAGACAAACTTGGCACACGTTTAAAAAAATGTCTTTCTTTCAGATTTTTTCTTTCCTTTTAAAATATTTTTTCATTTTCTTAATCGTGGACACTGTCAATAACCCATGTGAGTTCTCTAATGTTCCAACCTACACTATAACCCCTTGGTTTTGCTGGCGCTACACTCAACTAGTTTAACTAAAATGACAAAGACTGACTTTGTGAGAGTTTTCAGTGTTTCCAATGAATTATTGGCTTCAGTCAACAATATTCAATGTGTGTAGCAGTCTTTTTAAAAGACCACACAAATACATAAAGGCGTTGAGGGCTATTATGATTACAAGGAGCCCTCATTCACACAAAAACACACAGCCTCGCCTCACACGGAGCGAGGAAACTCTCAGCATGGCCTCTCGGTCTCCGGAGAGATCAAGAAGCTTTTAAAGGAACCAGCTAAATGTGGCACCAACATGCCATCCGACTCGTCCAAATAACATCTCGGCGACCGTGGAGACAGACTAGCAGCTGGTTTACGGTTCTGAAAGGCTTTTGAGCGTATCCAGGCGTTAGAAGCGCTGGTAAAGTGCCCGGTCCACCTTCACCCTGTGTTTTCCCTTCTTAATGAGATATAACATGAGCAAACAGGATGCTGGTTGATGACATCACCACTTTCTTGCACACTTACTTCATGTGGGACAGAGATGTGAGCCAGGAACAGAAGCCCTATAAAGAGAGGGAGGGAGGACAACGGTGTCATAAAAAGGTCTGGCATATAAAAACACAGAGCGCGTCTGGCTAGCGTAGCATCTGTCAGAATCATTTGTTCTTTAACTGAACATGGATAGCGTAACAAGTGGAAAAGGCCATGCAATATCTTTAACGTGGCTGTGATGTCTTGAACTGTCATTGCACATAAAACGAAAGGAGACAGAGTGAGGTCAGAATTTAAACGGACAGATAGTGTGCATAAAAGAAAATAGGGTCTGAGTGCACAGGCTATTTTATATGACATCAGCTCTGGGGCGACGCTTCGTAACAGCAGCTGAGTAATCCACGTCGACAGATTGAACTTCATGTGTGCCTCTTTATGTCTTTACGTATCAGCGGTTGAAAATTTGCATCAACATGAAGACGATAGTGACTTTAAAAGGGTCATGACATGGATATTTTTTATTATTTTAATATGTTCCTTGAGGTTCACTTAAATAAATAAAAAATTGTAAAAAAAAATGTAATAAATATATATACCCTTTGTCTGAAATGATCAGTTTTTAAGGGGCGGCTCCTTTAAAGGAGAACTCCGGCGCAAAATGAACCTTTGGTCTAATTACACATTGTTACCTAGTCAACCGTTATCTGAGATTTGTTATCATGATTATCGAATGTAAATAGTTTTATCTCTAAAAACAGTTTAGCCTATAAAGCTAGTATAACGCTAGTATATAGGGCATAGAGTAATGACAAATAAAAATCGCTTGTTAATACCACTAACAAGGCTCAAAATAGCCCCACACTAGCACGGTAGCATAATGAGGGTCCCTACCTTCAAACCGAAGCATTGAGAACTTTGTCAGTGTCCAGACAGTTTAATAAGAAGATATTTTATACATACAGTCAACTTCGCGTATACAGGCAGAAGCCATCTTTGAAAAACAGTCTCTACCAGTCGATCTACGAACGCCGATCCAAGCCTGCTGTTCGCGCTCACCTTATCACAACTTATAGCTCGTTCACATCTCACCAGCGCACTTGGATCGGCGTTCGTAGATCAACTGGTAGAGACTGTTTTTCAAAGATGGCTTCTGCCTGTATACGCGAAGTTGACTGTATGTATAAAATATCTTCTTATTAAACTGTCTGGACACTGACAAAGTTCTCAATGCTTCGGTTTGAAGGTAGGGACCCTCATTATGCTACCGTGTTAGTGTGGGGCTATTTTGAGCCTTGTTAGTGGTATTAACAAGCGATTTTTATTTGTCATTACTCTATGCCCTATATACTAGCGTTATAGGCTAAACTGTTTTTAGAGATAAAACTATTTACATTCGATAATCATGAAAACAAATCTCAGATAACGGTTGACTAGGTAACAATGTGTAATTAGACCAAAGGTTTATTTTGCACCGGAGTTCTCCTTTAAGGCTTGTGAGTAAACGGCCACTGTTATGATTGGCTAACATCACAGCATAGGAAACAATATTGTGGACACGAGTACGTTTAAAAAAAAAAAATTCATATTAAACCGTCATTTACAAAGGCTTATGAAATCATTTTCTTACGGTTTGTGATGCAGCTGCTGTCAGATTCAATAGTTCAACTTTCAACAAAAGATTCCCTCCATTACATTGTGCCTCGTTACACAAAGACCTCATATATGTCAAAAGATCAAGGCAAATTTTCTTTCTCATGTCATGACACCTTTAAAAAAACACTATCTATTAATTTTACTCGTTTCTAGGTAGGGTTGGCATCCATAACGAAGTGCAGGCCTTGTGATGTGAGAGGGTTTCTGCACTGCCAAATTTAGTAAATTCAAACGAAGATCCTGATCAAACGTTTCTTAAATGTGTGTGATGCTTTTTTCCTCACCGTGTCCTTGGTCTCTGAGTCTGATGGGCTGGATTCTGATGGGGTTTTCTCCTTCTCACTTTGTTCTCCATAGAATAATGATGTCAAGCTACAGAACAAAGACAAACAATAAAATGGACAGGTAATCATTTTTCACAAAATACACTTAAGAAGATCTCACATACTGTTAGAAATGTGGAAATATTATTCCCATGTTGAATTATATATATAGGCCAGGGCCAGTTATGACACTTTTTATTCAATTTTTTTCAAGATGGGTATATTTTGTTTCTTATAAATATTACAAAAATGTAAGCCTCTCATACCTTAAACACTTGGCAACAAAAAAGCTACAGTACATTTTCACAATCGCCAGTTAGTTTAACACATAATAACATATTGCTTAAAATATGACTTCTATATAAATTCAAAAGCAATACAAGATATCTGTATTTAAAATGCAAAACATTATTTTGGCCAGCAGAAATTTACTGTAACTGAATTCATTCTAATAATTAATAAATACACATTTATCCTGAGAACACAGTTGAACTTTTCAGTTAAATCTACTTTCATTATATAGTAGTAGACACATGCTTGAATGAATCTTATTGCGGTTTTATACTCGGTTTTTTTTTTTTTTTAAATATGATCATTTAATTTCAGTTTTGCTGATGTTTGCTTTAAAATAAGGTCCCATTAGTTAACAATTGCATTAACTAATATTAACTAACAATGAGCAAGATATTTGCTACGGTATGTATTAATTTTTCAGTATGTATAAAAATATGGTAACAATTAATTTTAAGGTGTCTTGGTTACACTGTAATAATACAATTTATGTCCTGAGTATTGGTAATATCAATAAACAACATATAATTACTATGGGGATTTTAATTAGGTTTAGGTTTGTTTTGGGGTTAGTTGCATGTAATTATGCATAATTCACTGTTATTACTATAGTAAGTACATGTAATATGTGTAATAAAAAAATGCACTGTAAAATAAAGTGTTACCAAAACTACAATTGTTAGTTCACGTTAGCTCAGGTCCATGAAATTATATTAACAGATACAACTTTTGATTTAAAAATGTATTAATAAATGTTACAATTACATTAACTAAGATTAATACATGCTTTAGAAGTATTTTTCATTGTTAGTTCATGTTAAATAATGCAGTTAACTAATGTTCACAAATGGAACCTTACTGTAAAGTGTTACCAACATGGTTTTGAAGAAAGAAGTCTTTGATAACCACAGATAAACCAAACATTAACTGAACGTTTGACTGAATAACTGAGATATAACAACTCTGAAATCTTCCCATGTGACAATTAAACTTTGTCTTATCTATATATCATGTCAGTCAGTGACAGTATTTTCCTGCCTCAATGCCTGTTCCAAAATTACTCAAGTATAATTAGCCTCAAGATCAGAAAATGGCGAACATTTCAGCCCATCAAGTGAAATTCTAGTGCGCACAAATGTAAAAGTATTATTACTGTGAGAGCCGGCGTTTTCTCTGTGGGCTGATGCAATGCTTTGCAAATATACACACTGAAAATCACCGGCACATTCGGATAAACAAAGACTTTAATGCTACATGCTGATGCAGAATAAAGCAACACTGCCAAACCTTTAGAGTTATGATTTCAATTTCACCCACTGCTCCCACAGGGACACTGTGTGTGTGTGTGAGCTGAAATGTTTTAATAATACTAACATACTGTACAGGTTTCTCAAAAACATGAGCAAAAATTAAATGATATGCTAAATGAATAAAAAAGAGTGCCTGACAATATAAACACTATGTATATTGTATATTATATCATAGTGTTGAGACTGCATTAGTTAAGATCTCTAATGACTTAATGTCCGCTGCTGACTCGGGACTTATTCTGCTCGACTTGAGTGCAGCATTTGATACCATTTCGCACAGGATTCTGTTACACAGACTAGAGTCTATTGGGATCTTTGGTTCCCGCTCCGATCTTATCTTACGGGTCATACTCAATTTGTACAGCTGAAGCAGTTTCGATCAAATCCTTCTTTTGTCACTACTGGTGTTCCACAGGGCTCCGTCTTGGGCCCTCTCTTATTTATTATTTATCTTCTACCTCTTGAAAATATTTTTAAAGAAATGTGGGATTCAATCCCACTGCCATGCCGATGACACCCACCTTTACCTGTCCTCCAAACCAACTTCTACTTTTCCTCCATCGATCCTTTCAGATTGCTAAACTAAGATTAAAGCTTGGTTTACATCCAATATTCTCAAACTTAACAGTAGTAAAACTCAAAATTCTTCTTGTAGGTTCAAAAACCAATCTGGCTAAATCAAATTGTTCCTCTGTGAACATTGATCATTTTCCAGTGTCTCTGTATAAACAGGTCAAAAGTTTGGGTATCATCTTTGACAGTACTTTATAATTTGAAGCTCATATAAATAGAGTCACTCGATCTGCATATTTTCACATACATATTATTAATCGACTTCTTGTTCATGCTTTAGTGACATCACATAATGATTATTGTAACGCTCTTCCTACGGCCTTCATGCAAAGCTTCTCTACAAACTTTGGTTAGTGCGAATTATTTGCAGAACTTCTGTAACTGAAAATATTACTCCTATACTACAACACTTGCATTGGCTTCCAGTTAAATACTGTATTGATTTTAAAATCCATGGCACTTAATAATCGTGCCCCTTCATACTTATTTGTCCTTCTTCACATCTACACGTATCTTAAGAATTAAGATTGTCTTCTGCCCTCACTCTTGTTCTCCCTCGAACTCGCACAACTTCTACAGGGTCTCGAGCCTTTAGTCCCTAATTATGGAACGACAGGATGTGCGAAAAAGTGAAAGTCTTCTTGTTTTTAATTCTCATCTTAAGACTCATTTTGTTAGGCAGGCTTTTATGTGATCGTATTTGTATCCAGTCTGCCCAGGCTGTAATGAGGATCATTTATTATTTAATGTTGATTGTTTTATCATGTTTGTAAGGTGTCCTTGAGTGTCATGTAAGGTGCCTATAAATAAAATGTATATTAATAATAATATCATGTCAAATAATATAATGTCCTAAGTAACCAGCAGGTGGCGACAGGATCTCACACTGACCTGCTAAGCATTCAGTTCACTCAACCACCACACACAGTTGTTCAATTATTTACATCGTTAATGCATTCGGCAAACAGTCAACAGTTATGAGATGATACCTGTCATTTTCCATAAGAAGAGCCAGGCGGCCGTAGTCCCACGCTGCCTTCCTCAAACAGGAGAAGATTAGAAGCAGGAACTACAATAAAAATAAACCAAACCTCAATGATATCAGCATACTGTTCATATCATGTTCAAGATATGAGTGACCTAAATAAAAACGGCTAGTAAATTACATGCACAGTGAACAATATCTGATGCTCATGCATTTTAAAAGATGTGATATATTCCAGGATATAGCCAGAAGGCATTGTGCCACTTTAAATGTGTGCCAAAGCTATTGGTATAAACAGAATAATAAGCATTTGTGTAAGTAGACCCTTGCACTCACTAGACCCCTGAGCAGCAGTAATAATTAGCCATTTCTTTGGCCGGATAGAGACGAGGTGTGTGGTTGTCTTGGAAACTAACAGGCTGTGCGGTCTGCATGCACACTTGTGTTCATAATGACTCCGGGAAGAACAGTCAATGAAAAGACAACAGAAAACGCTTACTACTGGGAAGCTACTAGTCTCTATTTAGCTTCCTATGTTGCTGGTTAGCAACTTATTCTAAACTTAAAGGTGAAGAGTGTTATTTCTTCCTCACTAACGTCACCAAAAGTAACTGCAAACACTCCCTATGTTTATAATTTAATCATGAGCGATTCAATGTTGAGTTCAACTCAAATGTGCTGTATATAAACTACTGTTTAAAAGTTTGGGGTCAATAAGTAAAAAAAAAAAAAAAAAAACTTTTATTCAGCAAAGATGCATTGAATTGATCAAAAGTGACAGTAAATACTTTTTCATTGTCACAAAAAAAATCTATTTCAATTTAAATGCTATTGTTTAAACTTTCTATTTATCAAAGAATCCTCAAATTTCAACACCTCATACTTTTCCACTGCAATTTTAAGCCCTGTTAACTGTTGCAACATTGATAATATGAAATGTTTCTTAAGCACCAAATCAGCACATCAAATAAATGCAGCCTTGATGAGAATAAGAGACTTCTTTCAAAAACATCCCAACCCTAAACCTTTGAATGGTAGTGTATATGTATTCACTGCAAAAAGTGGTAACCTGCAATTGTTACTTTAAAAAGCTGGTATAGCTTGGTGGTATAAATCAATGTATTTAGGTTGATTTAGCAACATTACATAATTATTGACTTGAATAAAACTTAAATGTTAGCATTTTTAGGTCACCACATTTTTCAGTGTATATGCGGCAGCAGGTATGCTTTTCTTCAAATTAATTAAAGTGTGTTAACTTTTCTTTTTTATAGATTGGGTGAATGTCATGGGAAAGAATATGTCATATTTCACCCCAAAAGCAAATAACTAATTAAGACATTAGGACTTTTTACATAGTGACATTATTTTTATGACAACTTAGCAAATTCCCCTCCCAAATTCTCATTAATAAAAATAATCCAATTTTTTTTTTCATTAAAGTTTTTTGTTTTTTTTTGGCTTTTAGTATGAATGTTAGCCTTACTGTTATCTATAAGCGAGTATGCTCCAAAACAATGACAAAATTCGCATTTAGAAGATATAAGCATTCAAACCTTACAGTCTCTCTTTTCTGCCAATAAGGACCAATGATTTTGATGATATCACTCTGCACTTCTTCTCATCAGATTTTCTGTCCAATCAAATTCTCTCTAGAATCTGAAGCGTGAAATATCCCGCCCCCTACATTATAAATAGACACTGATCCTGCAGTTAGGGAACGATTCAGACAGTTTAAATATGCTTTCAATTGGGTCGAATGAAGCCTGATTTCACATTAGTGTCACGCGAACCAGTCCAGAGACACGAGAGCACAGAGCGGATCATATGTGCGAGTCGGTGCAGACCACAAAACACATTGGACCCATTTGAATCCTGCACAGAATGCTGTATTGTAATATGGAGGAGAAATGGATAGAGATTAGGAGGAAACCGTGCCGTGAAATAAAAGAAATGCTATTGGCTACTTTAAAAAAGGAAAGGAGCTGATCGATATGTCTTGCCCTGTCTTCCTGTTTCAGTGGAAATTATTCAGATTTCTCTCAACATGGGGACTGCAGAAATGTCAGTCAATAAATGGCAAAACAAAGTAACTTGAATTACTAATTTTAAAAAGTAACTCTATATATTTAGTTGTGAATTTAAAAGTAATACGTTACTGCGCTGCGCATACAAATTTTATTTGAAATTTTATGCAAAGTATTTTTGTCTTTTGATTTTGGTGTGAAAAAACAACATGTTCTTCACCCAGACACCGGAGTTCTTTAGGGTTCAAATTCTGAGGATTAAATTCTCAAACAATTAGAGGTAATACCATCATTGAATCTCAAGAAATGACATAAGATGCACTTGACATTAAAGGCCAGATTTACTAAACAGGGCAAATGAGTGTGAAAGCGCAGATGGGAGTGCAAAGTTCTGCGTGTGATTTACTGACGATGTGCAAATTAAAGAACAAGAAACGTATTCAGATCATTTCCATAATGACCAACGCAATCCACCAAGAGCAGCGCAAATTAGCGTCCGGTTTAAGACATGCTTTCTTTGGTTGTTAAATAATGGTGCAAATACCAGTAAATTGACTAGCGCAAACCTTAGTAAATCGCCTTGCATGATTCATTTAAAGGTGCTCTATGTAACTTTTCTACTAAAATGAATCCTTTTTTTATTGCCTGTGTGTGAAGGGGTTGTAATCACACATTAAAATGATCCACTTGTCGAGTTTTGCTATTACCTCTGAAGGCCAGTATTCCTATTTCTATGTGAAGTCTCCGGGTCGGATTTACCGCGAAATCCAACGGATGTGACGTGCATGCGCGCTCCCGAGCCTCTCTCCTTATATACAGTCTATTGTAGACGGTCAGGGAGTTACGTCCGGTTAAAGGCGCACGTTTTTCGGCTTATATCTCAGTCAATCTTTGATCAATATTCCCAAGACTCTAATCGTTCGTAGTGCTGGACGGGGCCTTTCGAACGAGCCCACCCCCGAGGTCCAACTCGCCCGGCTCCCCGAGTTATAGCCGTTCGAAATCGGGGGTCCCAGCGAACGGCGATCCGGTAGGGGACATCCCCGAGGCCCGCCACTCTAGCGTTCGGGCAAGGGTTCCCCTGGGACCTCCTCCCCCGAATTTGAGCTCTCTGGGTCTTTGCGTTCCAGAGATACGAGCGATTTTCTTCTGAGATCGCGACGTCACTGGCGTCCGCAATTTTGCAGCGCGCCCGATGATTTTCTGCTAATATCTCCGCGAAAACACCACCAAAAACTATGGAACTTATATGGTTCTTTTCACCTCGACTAGATGGTCCCAACCAGCTCGGTGCTCGCCGAATCCGTCTAGTATTCGCCAAGATATTTGCGTAATAGACGGTATTGTCTATGAGTTCGAGCACGAGCGCTCTTGTAAAATTTGGTTGCAATCTGAAACATCACCACTAGAGGCCGCTAAAAGTTACATAGAGCACCTTTAAATACTTTCCTCGCATAAATTTTTCGTCTGAAAAGGAAACTCCAACAAATGCATATGCAATAAGGTCAGCCGCAAAAATAACCCTGTCCACGTCTTTTCAGCGCTCATTTTTCACTGTGTCTTTAGTAAATCTGAAAGTAGTTTTTAATGCCAAAAGAGGGTTTGCGCTGGCGTAAGCTGTTAGTACATCTGGCCCTAAATGTCATGCAGTTGTAGCAAAACAATGAAATATGTTAGCAGGGATGTTGTACCAGCCACACAACGACGTTGATGGCGAGGACAGTGGGGACTCCTCCAAAGGGCAGGCCCTGCAGGACACTGCTGCGAGAGTGAGAGCGATAACATCTCTCTGCTGTGCTGTTCTCCTCCATCAGTGAGCCCAGGACGTCCAGCTCCTCTAAAGGACTGCCACCAGCTGCAGGCCAGGACTCAAACACCGGCTGAGACGAACCCAACAGGTCAGAGCGCACCGCCATGGCTCACGAAGCCCTTCAAACTGTCAAAGCATCACTGAGGAGAGACGACAGGGAACAAACAACATCAAAGACATGTGGAATATTTGAAAAGATAATAACAGTGAATGTATTATAGTGGCCAATGATGATGTCAACTACTCATTCATATGGGAAAAAATACAAAATGAGTCAATCAGGAAACATTTGTTACATGAAATGAAGCAAAATAAGTTTAAATAAAATAAGTAGAAGTACTAAAATTTCTCAAACAAGAACTGAAATAAAAATAAAGCTAAATAGAAGTATTTAAATCAAAAACTAATAAGTAAATGTCAAGAGTTTTAAAATGAAAACAAACTGAAAATAAAAAAGAAATGAAAGCTAATTCAAAATATTAATAAATAGCATAACATAATATATAAATCTGATCTCTGATTTTTGATTGCAGACTTTGGTATCTTGGCAAATCAGGGCACGGATTAAGACATTGTTGAGATATGTTCTGAAACCTCTGAGATTACTAGGGTCTTTTTTCTTAGGAGAAAGAGATGTTTCCTCTAGGGAAGATTCCCTTTTATCAGCTACTTCCATAGACGGAGTGTGTTTAGAGCTAGAAATCTCAGTCTTACACAAGATATGTGTAATACACTTTTTTTCCAGCAAGGATGCATTAAATTAAATGTGACAGTAAAAGTAACAGATAAGACTTTTACTTTTTTGTTACAAAAAAAAATCTATTTCAAATAAATGATGTTCCTTTGAACTTTTAGTAACACTTTAGTTTAGGGTCCAATTCTCACTTGCTTATTAGCAAGCATATAACTAGGATATTGGCTGTTTATTAGTACTTATAAAGCACATATTAATGCTTTATTCTGCATGACCATATTCTACATCCCTTAATCCAACCCAATTCCTAAACTTAACAACTTTACTAACTATTAATAAGCAGTAATAAGAAGTTTATTAAGGAAAAAGTCATAGTTAATAGTTAGTTAATAGTGAGAATTGGACCCTAATCTAAAGTGTGACAGAACTTTCTATTCGTCAAAATATCCTGGGGGGGGAAAATAAACAGTTTCCACATAAAAAATATTAAGCAGCACAACTGTTTTCAACATTAATACTGTAAATGTTTCTTGAGCAGCAAATCAGCATATTAGAATGATTTCTGAAGGATCATGTGACACTGAAGACTGGAGTAATGATGCTGAAAATTCAGCTTGGCAAACACATGAATAAGTTACATTTTAAAATGTATTAACATAGAAAATACTTGAGATGGCATTAGTGATTTTTTTAAGACATATGCCTTGAACTTCTGAAGAAGACAGTAATTGGATTTCCTCTAAAAAATGTCAGTTTAATGCTGACACTGATGTTGATCTTCATCTTTATGAGGTCTGAGCAGTTAAAGCCTTGTGCAAAAAGCTGGTACTACTGTAGCTACGGGGCAATTTGAACAAACATTTCTAAACCTTTGAACAAACACTGGGGCAGCTTGAAGCACCATTTTCATTCAGTTTAACAGATGTGTTTCAATTACCTTTATGAATATTGCCCTCAAGCGCATTAACAGGAACACACAAAACAGGGTCAACGCTCATTGCTTTGTTTCTTGATATTACAGATAATGATGTGCCTTAAAGGGGTCATATAATGGTACATGCACTTTTACAAGTTGATTGTACTGAAATGTGTGTTGGCAGTGCCTGTACACAACCATTATATAATGATAAAAATCCATCCAGTGTTTTTGTTTTAATCTCCTTATATGTTTTCCCCTGCCTCAAATCAAGCCGTTCGACCTTGTGACGTCACACGCTCGGACGCCCCTCCCACGATTATTGATTGACAGCAGCATTTCAACACAGACCCGCCCTCGCTCGTGAGAGCTGTCAATCATAGTCCGCGCGGATCGGCGCGGTCATTGTTGATATGCTGGAGCACTGTCTATGAGCAGAATGGCGTCTAAGCGATTGTGGTGTTCTGTTCTTGGGTGTAATAACGAACACAGCAGTCATTTTAATGTTCCTAAATCCAAACCACTGAAGACGCAGTGGCTGAGTTTGTTTTCGAAGGGAATATTCCCCACGAGCAACGTCAATGCTTTCATATTTGCGCGAATCATTTCTCACCAGACTGCTTTATAAACGAGGGTCAGTATAAAGCTGGTTTTGCTAAGAAGCTGCTCATGAAAAAAGGATCGGTACCATCTATTCGTGTTTCTGCTGAACCTCCAGAAGAACTGAAGTGAGTGTAACATTTTATTAATCTTTATATTAATATTTATATTAATCTTTGCAAATCGCTAGCTGCACGCTTCACAATGAATGCGTCTAAGGTTTACACTCAGGGTACATTACGGCATGTTTTCTATGTACGACGTTCTCAATATAATTCATAATCCCACGTTTATACTGAACAACACGTTATGGTTATTGTGTTATTGTGTTACAAACGGTGTACGCACAGAACAGAGAGGCGGGGTCAGCAAAGCTCATTATCATTTAAAGGCATATGCACTGAAACGGCGTGCTGAAAACAGAGCTGTTTTTGACCAAGTAAAATAAGTGTTTTCTTACAATACTAATGAGAATTTTTAATTAAAGTATATTACAAACTTTTAATTTAGACCCTAAAGAATCATTTTAGCTTGTACAAAAATGGTATTATATGACCCCTTTAAACTGATGATTCCCATAGTACTAACAAACCATCTCCCAACTCACACATAGACTAAGCCACGTCACATCAGTCACTTAATCCCCATAAAATCACTTTTTGAAGCAACATCATCCTCAAGTCATGCAGACAATTTGACTCTAGCAAATCTAATCGACTAAAATTAAAAGCTTGCGAACAAACTATAATTTATGTTGTTTTTTCATTCTACATTGTTGAAATATACATGGATTAAAGTTAGTTATGATGCTGTCATTTCCTGTTGTTTGTAATGTCAATCAAATGGCAATTTGCACCGAAAATTACCTGAAGGCTCTGAAATATATATATAATATTATACAATATTGCAATAATAATAAATGTTTAAATTGACTAAGTTAATATATATATATAAGAAAATTAATATATTTAAGTAGTTTTACAGTTATAGCTTTTATAGCTTTTTTTTCTAAATCGGGTCACACAGCAAGCTATCAGTATGAGTTAAAGCTCGCTTTTGATGAGAAAAATCTTGTTGACAGAAAATAATGTGACATCCCCCATAAATCACTAATTTACTACTGTCAGCTCAAATAAATAACCAATACAATTCTGCACGGTTGCTGACCAAGACGAGCTCTTCCAGTCGGACAGACGGTGCATAAATGGCTCTTTTGCGTAGTACAGTCTGACACTATCCTCTCGCCATAGGGTAGGAAAGAAAAACTAACAGCCATCAGTCACAGGTTAAGAAATGATGATGATGAGTCAGCAGTTCCCTGCTCTATACACTGTGTGTACAGTGGTACAATAATATACTACACTATACAATGCTGTACAACACATAAACAATAAGTTCTACTAAAACTTACAACATTATTTCATAAGTGAATATGCTCAAAAAAGAATGCCCCCAAAAAATCACATTTCCTTTACAGCTACAACCCAAGATTCATGAATATATTGTGTATATAAAAGCGTCTCAGATAACAAAGCACTGTGTATACAGTTTATACCCAAATCAATGAATAAATAGATTTGCATGTGTAAATATCAAAGCCGCAACAACATACTGTGTGAAAAAAACATATGTCAAATGCATACATAAGTACTATTAAGGTACAATGTTCATTCATTTTTAAGTGTCAATTAGATCATGTAAACAGTGAGATCTAATGGGAGACAAACTGAAAGTGAAGTGTCATCTCACTCTGTTAGGTGTTTTGTAGTTTACTTGAAAAGACTGAGAATGTGTAAAAGAAGAAACACATTTGCCTCTACAGTCCCGTTGTTGTGAGCGTGAGCAGCTGGAGATGCTAAGAGCTAAAGCCACCTGAGCTCCTGTCCTGATGACACGCTGAAAACATGGCACTCGTGTGGCAGAGAATCACTGGCTATAAATCCAACATGAGAAGAACATTTCTGCCAAGTGTCCAGTACAAACAGACCCTTTACAGCTGCACACTGAATAACTCATATGCTGGAGTTTGAAAATAGCAAAATGGGGCACATCTATGAGGATCTTTTTTTGTTTAACAAAGTTCTTCAGAAATATATTCCCAATTAAGGCAAAGCATATTATAATATATTAATCTCACACAAATATTTTGCGCCACCTCAGTTTGCTTGAAATTTATTTGTAAAAATAGAAAAACTTCATAAAAAGCTGTTTTGATCATGTTCACAAAAGGTCTGTCAACTGTGTTCTTTAACCTACTATGGGTCAGAGGAAACTGTGTGTATGAGCTAACAATGTGTGCGATGTTTCCAGTTTTTTCTTCATTTTTAATAACTAAAGTGCTGCTTGTCATATCCATTCAGGGTATATTTTATATCCAGACAGGTTGGAGTTTTGCATAACATCTCTTAAATTTACCAAATGTTTCTTTAAGGCAGATTTACAATATGTAACAAAAATTCTGTCCTTGGTGACTGTGCTGAGAATATCACAATATCTGCACAAAAATCTGATTGTTTTTAAATGATTAAAACGATTGTTTTAAAATATTAAAACAATCTCTGTACAGAACAGACTAAATAAGTAGCACTTCATCAGAGTTTGTGGTGGCATACAGTTCTCTTACGAGAGGTTCTCTCGTATTGCGTAAGCTAGCTTACGCTACGGGAAAGATTAATCTTTTCTGAATTATTGAAGCCAAAAAATTATCCTTAATTTTGTATCCATTGTCAACGCAGTGCAGCAGCTGCAGACCTTGAGCGGGCTATCTAGCGAGCTCATTGGTCGCTCTGCTGGAACTGCTGCAGCCTATGGACGGACAGAATGAACTCGCATCCAATGAGAGGCGCTCGCGCCTTCATCACGTCACAGCCCACCAAACTGGGCGTGGCTAGAGTGTATATTAGAGCGGTCCAAAGGCTGCATCCCTGATT